GGCAACTCTCAAATTAAACTTTGCATCATCTTGAAAAGCTCTTTATTTTTGTACGTTGAGAAAAAGTTGCTGTAGTACCAGTATCAACACTCCTTAATGAAAATGAGTTTAAATAAAACAGAACAAATTAGTCTATTTTTAAAATATAAGGAGTAGAAAGAATAGATAATTGCAAAAAATAAAAATGTAAAGAGTCGAAGTAAAAAGTTGCCTTAAAAAATAATTACTCCAATAAAGTATAGATAGTCAAAATTTCTGCTTAAGTAAGGTAACAAAGTATTTGTACTTTATTTTATTTATTTTCTTTTTGTTTGTACTCTGATCAAGACAATAAAATGTGTGTCATTTCCCTTTTTGTGATAAATTAGCTTTTTCATGATGTTCTGATATATTGAGGTGTTCAAGAATTCGATTGATTTTTGTAGGACATTGTTTTCCATTTCAGAGAAAACAGCTGATGGTTGAAATGCAGGCCTGCAGGAGATCTTATGCTGCCATCTAGTGGTCATGACGTTGATGTGACACAAAAGAAAAGGAAAGTTATAACTCAAGGCATCATACCTTACAGTCTGATGGACAAATCAGTAAATTAGTATTATTATCAGTTTTAGAAGTAGGAACATGAGGATAAGTTGGAGTAATAGTAGATGGAGAGGGTACCCTAAATTCATACATTTCATAATTCTTCAGATGATGCTTCATCCAAACTAAATGTGTGGCATTTAAAGTGCATCTCAAATTTGCTAATTTGAGTTGCATTTGTTCAAGCCTCTACAAGGGTGTAAAAGCACATTTCTCTATTACCTTTATACAGCTTGGTTGTGCAAAGAACTTGTCTTATAGAGCTGACCTGGATATGATGTAGGGGGTGTTGCAATGAGAAGAAAGAATTATCTTGGGGTCTCCTGGCCCCTCGACCTTAAAAATAATTAAATATTAGAACTGCAAAGGTACTTACCTGATCTGGACCAAACTTGGGAAGATCCGTTATCATATTAGATGCTACATGCTTATCGAAGCATCACATGCTCGCCATTAGATACTAATGGTACCGTACTCTATTTATCAGGTTAAGGGGAAGCTCCTGTGTCGATTTGATCCAACTGCTTCAAGTGTTTAAAAAAAAAAAAAACAAGGTAAGCAAATGTCACTGGTCAGATTAGCCTTGTTCTGAAACCTTGCCTTGCTTAATGTGGGATCCAAAAATCAACACTTTGCGAAAAAGTAGATTTTCACAGGTTGGTGGCATTAAAGAGCATTTGTGGGAGATATTTGACAGGCTCATAGGTTAAAATCAGAAGGAAAAAAAATCAAATAAATGCAAGCTGTTTTATGCTCCATATCTGGCACTTTGTTCCCATCACATCGTTACCACATCAAACTTCCCCTATACCTTCAAGGTTGTTATGGTGTCACCCATTTTGGGGGGAGTGTTGGCCTAGTGGTTAGGGCAGTGCGCTTGTGTTCTGAGGAGGTTGCAAATCCCCCCTCTCTGCTCTCTAAGGAGATAGGTCAAATGCAGAAGGTGATTTCCCCATTCTCACAATAAAGACATTTACATTTGCCACTTTATGCCCCCTCATTCCATTCAAAACATCTTAAGCAACAAAATCAACTAACATGCCTTCTGCTGATAAGAATCGATCTTGTAGCATTCCAGATTAAACCATTCAAGACCAAAACTGGTTGGCTAATCACATTGTAGTACTGTGGTTTAAGCTGGTACATATGGAAGTGATGAAAGAAAGAGCTGCTAAACTCACAGCCCACCCAAAATAAAAGCTGCTGTTACCACATCTATTATGTCAGAATCCACAATTTCATATTTGAAAGAGGAACAGCGAGATTGTAAAAGTGTAAACTGATGTGGTTTCTTATGGCATCTGCTGCTATCTAATTTGAATTCTGAGATTAAAGTCAGAATTGTGTGAAAAAAGTCAGAATTCTGGGATTAAAGTCAAATTCTGACTTTTTTCTCATAATATACTGAATTGGGAAAAAAAATCAGTTTTCTTTTTTTCTTTTTTTTAGTGGCCCTAATCCTTTACAATGTTTATTGTTTTCTCTCAAGATATAGAACTATTAAATTATTTAATGATTGTATTTCAAAACATGTTAATTTCTTTAAAATATGCTATTAATTATGTAATTTTATATAAAACCGGCTTTGCATAGTAATAATCGATAATCAGCCAAATTAAAACCTTGAAATTACTTAATCTTAATTCATTCATTTTATAAACTATGATTAGTTTAAAAAAAAATCTAATTACTGAAATAAATTGATGTGTTATGTGTAACCATTTCCTCTGATCTTCTGAGAGCATTGTGCATGTATCAGTATTATGGATTAACAAAAGGAACAATCTGCATTCAAATTTGAGGATAAATCTGTTCCTCGGGATCTTGAATTACTGACTCCAGATGCATTATCCCCCTATCTCTTTAAAAGGTACAGTTCTTTAGTGTTGTGTTTTTTTTTTTATTGATGATCCTCATTTGGGTCTGCACAGTGGTGCAGTTTATAGCACTGTTACCTTGCAGCAAGAAGGTTATGGGTTCAGTTTCCAGACAAGAGTTTTTCTCCTTGTGAACTCAAGGGTTCTCTCTGGGTACTCCAGATTCCTCCCAAAGTCCAGAAACATGACTAGGATTAGGTTAATCGGCCTCTTAGGTGTGAGTGTGTGAGTACATGGTTTTATGTCTCTGTGATCCCCTGCGACAGACAAGAAACCTGTCCAGGGTGTACTCTGCTGGGGATAAGCACCTCCCCCACCGCAACACTGACGGAATAAAGGGGAAGGATGGATGGATGATCATCATTTGTGTGAAGAACATTGAATCAGTATCATTTAGTGCAGGCAAATGCTCACGTTTTGTAAAACACAAACATCTGTTAGTCCAAGCTTATAATGACTGTGAGCTTGAAGTGACGTAAGCCAACCTGCTGAATATGAGTATTGCTGCTGAGGAGGGATGTGTGCCTCCTCACACAAAGGTCTATGCTTTGCACAATTAATGATATTAAAGCCATACCTATTGCATGTTGCCTTTTTTAAATTTAAAGTAAAAGAAAAGGCTGTTAAAGCTTAATAAATATCTCAATAAATCTGACCGGCTTGCTTTTGCGTATAGTTTATTTCACTATTTTCTTTTACCCAATAATGATAAAACTGAGGGATGGTGTTTGGACCAAAGGCTAAGAGGGATCCAGTAGCTCAATCATTTCTCTGAAAATTTGATTCAGATCTTAGGTTTCCCAAACATTTTAAGGACATGAATTCATCAGCCCTTTTTCAAATTATAAATTTAGCAAAAAGTAGATTATTTATTTCATACCATGATGCAGAAACCCCAATTTATGTGACTCCAGAATTCTGAGTTTAATCTCAGAATTTTGGATCTTAATGTAGATGGGCGCCATGAAGGATGAATGATGGAATTAGGCGACTTTTTACATGCCACAGGGGTCCCTGTGATACTATATAATTAATGGAAGAGCGGAAGGTGATTAAAACAAGAGAGCTAGTTTAGTCTCTAAAACTACAGCTTGATACTAACATGTTTTTTTAAGCTGTCAGAATTCAGTCAGAATTCTGAGCAAAAAGTCAGAATTCTGAGATTAAAGTCAGAATACTGAGAATAAGTCAGAATTCTGAGATTAAAGTCAGAATTCTGAGATTAAATTCAGAATTCTGAAAATAAGTCAGAATTCTGAGATTAAAGTCAGAATTCTAAAAAAATAAGTCAGAATTCTGCATTAAAGTCAGAATTCTGAGGTTAAAGTGAGAATTCTGAGATTAAAGTGAGAATTCTGCGAAAAAGTCAGAATTCTGAGATTAAAGTCAGAATTCTGAGATTACATTCTGAATTCTGAGAAAAAGTTAGAATTCTGAGAATAAAGTCAAATTTTGAGATTAAAGTGAGAATTCTGAGATTAAAGTGAGAATTCTTAGAAAAAGTCAGAATTCTGCGAAAAAGTCAGAATTCTGAGATTAAAGTCAGAATTCTGAGATTAAATTCTGAATTCTGAGAAAAGGTTAGAATTCTGAGAATAAAGTCAAATTTTGAGATTAAAGTGAGAATTCTGAGATTAAAGTGAGAATTCTTAGAAAAAGTCAGAATTCTGAGAAAAAGTCAGAATTCTGAGATTAAATTCTGAATTCTGAGAAAAAGTTAGAATTCTGAGAATAAAGTCAAATTTTGAGATTAACGTGAGAATTCTTAGAAAAAGTCAGAATTCTGAGAATAAGTCAGAATTCTGAGAAAAAGTCAGAATTCTGAGATTAAATTCTGAATTCTGAGAATAAATCAGAATTCTGAGAAAAAGTTAGAATTCTTAGATTATAGTCAGAATTCTAAGAAAAAGTTAGAATTCTGAGAAAAAGTTAGAATTCTGAGATTAAGTCAAATTTTGAGAATAAGTCAGAATTGTGAGAAAAACTCAGAATTCTTAGATTAAAATCAGAATTCTGAGATTAAAGTCAGAATTCTTAGAAAAGTCAGAATTCTGAGATTAAAGTCAGAATTCTTAGAAAAGTCAGAATTCTGAGATTAAAGTCAAAATCTGTTACCGGTAACTTTTTTTATTTTTGTGTATTATTTTCTCTGAAGATATATATAACTATTAAATAATATAATGATTGTATTTCAAAACATGTTCATTTGTTTAAGGATGGTAATAATTATGTCATTTTATATAAAACTGGCTTTACATAGAAATAATCAAAATGAGCCAAACTGGAACCTTGAAATGTCTTCATCTTGATTTAATCATTTTATAAACTATGATTAGTTCAAAGAAATCTAATTTCTGAAATAAATTAATTTGCAAATATATTTTTAGCATGTAAATGTATCTAGCAACATAATAAAAGCCAGACTAATTTACAAAATCTTCCTTAACCTTCTATTATTCTTGACATTACATCTATGAGGCTCATTTCGTAATGATTCGGACCCCCTCGGTAGTTTCCGGGCGTCTTCGGCTTTGCTTCGTTCATTTCCGGTCAGCGTCGCCATCTGCTTTCTCGTCCTTCTCCAATCTCCGTGTTGTTGTTCCCGGTGACGCGGCGGAGGTGTAGCCTGACGCGGGCTCTTACGTGTCGGCCTGAATAAAAGTGGAGCTCCGGAGACCCGGGAGTGACGAAAGGCTGTCTCTATCGGTAAGGAGAAGGGATGTCTGGGCTTCGGAGAGGCGGGAGGCGGCCGCTCAAAGTGTCTGTTGGTTCGGGTTCGGTCCGACGGGAAACAAAGAGATCATGGCGCCGCGGTGTGTTTGTAGCAGGATGGAGGGAGGGGAGTCTGCGGCTGTTTGGGAGAATCTGTAGGACTGAATCGGTTTGGATAGTGAAGCTAAACGGGCAGTTTTTCTGTTAACCCGCTATAAAGTCATATTGCGATATTATTGCGCGGGACTGCAAAGGCTGTAAAACGGATACATGCGCAAAAATTTGCGCCGTTTTCCCGAATCACTCAATAAAAGCACCTTATTTTATGTTTGTTTCCCCACATTAAAAACCGTTATTTATTTTTCCCTACAGTATTTTCACCACTACATTTCCAATTTTTTTGAATAGAATTTTTTTCCTCACAAGGTTTTAAGCCCTTCTGTTTGACAGACACTGAAACGGGCTCCAGAAGATACTCCTCATCTTATTTTCTAATAAAGCTTTTTTCGTGCGTTTTATTGATTTATATATTTTTTTGTTTATCGGGTGTAAACGTTTGCCTTGAGGGGGGCGTTGCCCGGCCATGTGGCTCGGCTGTCACTCGAAGAGCATCCAAGTGATTTTTGAAAAGCAGAGGGAGAAATGTGTAAAGCCAATCATGCAGCGGAGAGACGCTACGCACAGTGTGAGATCACTGAGAACAGGGAACAACACGTTCCTGATCATCAGAGGCTGCAGCGCCTCAACACACCTACAGATCCCTAAAGGCAGACCAACACTGAAAGCCTGCTTCTGTTTCACAGCCTCTGCTTGTTAAAGAGTTTTTAGAGGCATTACGAAGAAAGACTAATTAGGGGGTCAGCAGATGAGGGTGACCAGATTAGGGTTTCTGAAAAGGAGGACCATTTTTTATGGGGGGGTTATTGTTTTTAAAGGCTTAAAATGGTATAAAAATGAGTGTGCCTCACCAGGCTAATGTAGTAAAACAATGATCTGGAAGCCATTGAAGAAAAGTCCCAACTTTTGTCTTTGAAAATCTCTTAAAAACTGAAAATAGCTTAAAATAGCATAAAAGCAAGTGCGCCTTTCATATTATCTACTGGCATGATTTTATATTAGGTTAAAAACAAGTCATCAAAAACCTTTAACAGTGCGGATTCAGTACTGTGAAATTTTCTGTACCCTGACTGAAAAGGATCCAAAATGCCAGCTTTGTCTAAAAAAGGTTGCACCTGTGCCAAGACACATTTCTCTAAAATCTTTTAAACAATTTGGAAATTGGTCGATAATTTGATAGATTTATGGGATCCAAACTAGGTTTTTATATCAGTGGTTCAACAGCCGGTTTTTTTTTACAGAAAGAAGGCAAAGTTCCAGAAGACAGACTACTGTTTATTATCTCACCAACAACGGGGCTAATGGTGATCCAAATGTCCATAAAAAAGCTCTAAAACAATTTCTGTTAAAACAGCTGGAGAGACAGGCTGAAACTGCGTAAAGACAAATGAGCAGCAATTTACCACGGAGGGACCCATAATAAAAGCTGATATATCCGCCCTGATAGTATCCACCTTTTTGATAAAAAAATTGAAGGAATTCACTACAAGTTTCGCCTGTCATTTCCAGTGAAGTGGACGGAATAGGATTAAAAACAGAGTCAATCATTTTAAAAAATAATACAGGGCTTGCTGAGATTATTTAAGATTAGATCAGAAAAATACTCGTTTCTTTCAACCCTAACCACCCTCTGCTACTTTTTCCAGCTCTCTTTATGAATCTGGTCTTACTGCCACTTTCGCTCCGCCTTCAGACAGTTGCGCCGAGCTGCGCGGGCATATTGTCATTGAGCCATGGGTCATGCTTTAAGCGAGGAGGTTCGGAAGGACAACCACTTGTACGATGCCTCAGACAAATTATATAAATAAATATATCCTCTTCGATGTCTAGCAACTCTAGATCCATCTCCTTGACTGTGATATCTTGCAAACGTGCCATCGTTGTTTTGGAAGATAAACACTCCCGCCGGCGATGCCGAAGTTCTCGCAAGCTCTTGAATAGTCTCCCCCTTGCGCTTTGGCGGGAAACTGCTGTGGGCCCCTAGAAATTCCAGACCGGGGATGGCATAAGTAGGCCCCTCACAGAGTATGCCATTGGGTAAAAATATATGACCGACACAAAAAGGTCTATTTCCCAATGATCCTGTCAGAACTGCAAAAACATCACTTGATACCATCATGGATTTTAAGTTCATCTGCTGTTCTATCAGTAAGCAGGCAGCTGATGAGGAGACATGCACAGACATGCCCACAACAGACAGGAGGAAATTGGGGGTGTCTGTTAGTAGAGCCCTGCTGTCCATGCTTACATCCATCATGGACAAAACCTTTCACCCCCTGCACCAGAGTGTAGAGGAGCTGAGCAGCTCCTTTAGTCAAAGACTTTTACACCCTGTTTGTAAAAAGGAGCGCTACCCCCGGTCATTCATCCCTGCTGCAACAAGACTCTACAATGTGACACTACAACTGCAATAACTTGTGCAATGTATGATGTGCAATTACTATATAATACCATGTCCAATAACCTGTTTCTTTATATTTGACACCCAATACAATAGCTATATATATAAATATCCATCTATATATATACACATGTAAACACCCTGTGCAATAACTCTGTATAATGATCCTGCTATAACATTTTTTTTTAAAAAGCTGTCGTGTGGACGCACTAAATATACTGTATATAACCCATCCACCTTTTTCTTCCTTTGGCACCTCCTCCTTCTTCTCTTTTTGACTGTTTGAGCTGATGTAACGAGTACATTTATCCACTGTGAGAACAACAAAGAACAATGAATCAATCAACCCGATTTAGTGAGAATCAAATAGTCTGGCGATTATTCAAAGTTAAAGGGACAGTATGGAGGATTTATCGCCATCTAGTGTTGCACTAAATTAATTACAACTGACAGACTGGTGCATTTTCTTTAAGCATTTCGAACCTACTAAGGGAGTCATGCAGTGACATCTCCTAACAGCAGCTAATACATTACTTACAAGCTCATCCAATGTAGGCTAACAAAATAGCCTTCTCTGTCTTGTTTTAACAAAGGAGCAAAAATAAACGTCAAGTTATGTCCACTAACTTATAAATTGTCTCCTATTGGGAAAATCTGCACCAATGTTGTTTTCTCATTGTTGTCTTTTTCCTTTTATTTGTTTCCTTTGCCTCTCACTTGACATAAAGTACAAATTTTCCTCCATTGCAAGATAGAATGTCCTACAGTTGTTTTTTTGCTTGTTTTTAACTCTTCGGCCACCAACGACACATTTCCAGATACAGGGACAACACATCAGGCCAACAAGTTTGTCTGATTTCTGCTTCTGTGATCAAAAATGTCGACAAAATATTGCATCTCCCATTGGGTGCACCACCTCTTATGTATTTATAAACTACTTACTCTGACCTATGACAATTACTATAAAGAGTTCATATTATACTACATTTTCAAATAAAAAATACTAGCAATGAGCCCTCCAGAACAGTTTTTAACTCTTGGAACAGGATTATTCCTCTTAGACTAGACAGAGAGCATGTACCAATAACCGCCTCATTCAGCCCTCTTCTAATCAATCTGTTTTGGCTTTCCATGCTCCGCCCTCCAGCACACCAGAATCATATTGAAAAGGTGCGAATTCACCATCTTTGCCAATGAAGATGGAGCCAGCAGCCGAGGCTCAGCAGGCGGCGGACACTGCTGTGACTGAGACGGAGAACCAGCAGATCACCCCGGCCCAGATCGCCACCTTAGCACAGGTAATGAGGCACACTCCAACTGTTCCTGCTGTTTGAGTCTGGAAGGATAAGAGGTTCTGATAAACAGAGTTATAAATGTTGCAATGGGTCTATGGAACAGAAAATTGTCACGCTTCTTCATTTAAGGTGTCCATGACAACAGGACACGCCTCGGCAACAGGACCCACTGTAACGCTGGTCCAGCTTCCCAATGGTCAGACGGTTCAGGTCCATGGAGTCATTCAGGCTGCACAGCCGTCTGTTATCCAGTCCCCACAGGTCCAGGCTGTGCAGGTAAAACTTCTTTTTAGGGTGTAAGAGTATTAAATTAATACAGAGTACCATTTAAGGCAAGATTGTGTTTAATTTATGTCTTATTTGATTTAAGATCTCCACTATAGCAGAAAGTGAGGATTCGCAGGAATCAGTCGACAGTGTGACGGACTCCCAGAAGCGCAGAGAGATTCTGTCACGGCGTCCGTCATACAGGTAATTAGGACCAGCAACATAATCTTAGATCATTTCCAGACCCAAACACCGTTTCTTTAAATAAGTGGACTCATGTCTTTAACACTAGGTTTACTTTGAATTCAGTTTCTAACTTCTTTCAGTGGTTATACAAATAGTCCGAACAACTATAACTCATCTCTTTTATCAGATCTGCATTAGGAAATGAGAGCTGGCTAATAATGAGTGACTCTTTGTCCGGACAGGAAAATCCTGAACGACCTTTCATCCGACGCACCAGCGGTTCCTCGGATCGAGGAGGAAAAGGCTGAGGACGACTCATCTGCCGCTGCAGCTACACCTGCCATCACCACCGTTACCGTGCCGACCCCCATCTACCAGACCAGCAGCGGACAGTACAGTAAGTGGAAGCTGACTCAATGTTTCAACGACTTTTTTTTTTTTTTATGAAAAATAAAAAAAAAAGCAATTATTTTTTTTTTTATTAACATAGGTTGAATGTAACTAGCATACCACCTCATTGCCTTACTCTATGGTCAAAAGCCTCTATTACCAGGAAGTTATTTGGGTAGACAGCTTGGAAACCAACATTCAAAAAATTATTTAAGTAGAAAAAATAAAATAGGTGATTAAATAATAAAACTGTAAAGCTTTATGGATATATCTAGTCTCCTTTTTTGCAAAGCTTTGATGTGCTAATGTTATTTATATAAACTCTGATTAAATAAATTCTTTAGAAGATTGACATTAAATAACTACAGATCTTAATTTTATAGAAGGTTTTAGGCATTTTGCTCACTTCTTCTTTGTATCATTTAGTTGCGATCACGCAGGGCGGAGCCATTCAGCTGGCCAATAATGGCACAGATGGAGTTCAAGGCCTTCAGACTCTGACCATGACCAACGCCGCTGCAGCAGCCGCTCAGCCTGGTACCACCATTCTGCAGTATGCACAGACCAGCGACGGCCAGCAGATACTGGTTCCCAGTAACCAGGTTGTGGTCCAAGGTGGGATCCTGTATCTTAAAATTGTGTTTCTGTTTAGAGAGCTTTTATATTTTTGAATGTTAGACACAGGCTACCATTTTTAGCTGCTAATAAACACACTTTCTTTACTGACTTTGCCTTACAGCCACCTCAGGTGATGTCCAAGCTTATCAAATCCGAGCAGCCCCTGCCAGCACCATCACCCCTGGTGTCGTCATGGCCTCCTCCCCTGCACTCCCAACACAGGGAGCCACAGAAGAAGTCACTAGAAAAAGGGAGGTCCGCCTCATGAAGAACAGGTAAGGCTAGCTTTGTGTTGTAGTGATGCGTTAATGAAAAAAATACGTTGTTTTTACAATGGCAAACTGGAAGTCTCGTCTTATTAATGATTAAAAATATGCCCCATTGACACTACCCCTCTGAAAACAATCCTCGCTGAGTTCGCCGAGCTTAGTTCCTTACAACCATTTACACATCATGCTAAGCACAGTTCCTCGCCTCCTAATGGTGGTCCACGATGCTACAGCTTTCTATGCGGGAATTACGCAAACAAAAATGTCGGCGCTCATAACATTTAGGTACTTATGTGCCTGGATTGCATCCTCCACCCAAATTTCAATGAGAGCCTCTGTCTCTGCATCATTCCAGCTCGCACCATGCTCTTTTAATGCCATTTATGGTTAATAGGCTTAGAAGAAGTTCATGTTGTGAACAGGTGAAGAGATCTGTGAATTACAAAGCCGGACACGCTGGAAAACCTGCTAAATTAGTCAGTTGACTGTAAATAGGATATGATGCGGTCTGCTCATGCACTCTTTGTTACCAAATAACTGAGCCACAGATGAACCGTGCCAAGCCTGTTGAACTAGTAGCATATTCGGTTCGGTTGTGTCTGGTGTCTTGGACCGTTCTCTGCACGGTTTCAAAAGGCTAGTGTAAATGGGGCTATTGTTGCAATCTTTACTGATCCTGTGATCCAATCAAGTCTCTTTTAAACCAAACACAAGAAATGAAACTGTATTGTTTGTCCTCCCTCTTACAGAGAGGCAGCCCGGGAATGCCGCAGAAAGAAGAAGGAGTATGTTAAATGTCTGGAGAACAGAGTCGCTGTCCTGGAGAACCAAAACAAGACATTAATCGAAGAACTGAAAGCACTTAAAGATCTTTACTGTCATAAATCCGAGTAGCTTGTCTCCTGAACACAGAGCTGGGCTAAGTAGTTTCCAGTTTCTTTCAAATGCTTTGACTGTTTTATTCTGCCAGCCTGGCCTTCCAATCTGCTCACGGCTGGCCTCTTGGTTTCCTCTTAATTTTTTATTTATTGGTTTCTTTTTTTTAAGCTATACCCATTTAACCTTCAACAGTACCACACATTTTAACATAAGTAACGTACTGTCATAAGAATAAATAGGGAAAACATGAGAAAAGTGCCGTCTTAAAGCTGGTACTATAAACAGATCCTGTTACAATTATTTAGTTTGGTGCTGGATGCTGTAGAAAGCAGCAAGTCAGCATATCCTGCTTTAGTTGGTAAATTATGCATTTCTGTTGTTTGTTTTGTGGAAAAGGTGCCTGAGTCAGATGATGCTGTGGAGATCTAACCTTTTAGATTTGTTTTCAAATTGCAGACTCCTGTTTGATTTTCTGTACTAGCATAGCTAGGTCAAAGACAAAGGTCAGTTTCTGAGACATACCGAAGATGTTAATGGCTGTTTCTCAGCTTTTAAACATCGTTCCGCCTCATTGAACTCTAGGATAGTTTCACTTTAATTGTGCAAGCAATAATGTCTTCAAGGTACATCTGTTTACCCTGTGTTATGATTTACAACACTGTTGTAATTGCCTACAAAAAAAGGCCAGACAATGACAAGCCTCCTAAGACATATTGCCTTTTTAGTTAAATATCAATGTTTTATATCATATCGATATACTAAATGGTCCTATTATTAAATATGTCTATAGTTAGAATCTTAGTAAGCTGGACTTGGTGTGTCAGAGTCAGACTGAAAAATACTGTAAATCTAACCTTGATGTGCAACTAATGGAAAAGTAGTGAAACTCGCTCCCAAAAATATCACTCAAAAAAAGGAGAGTTGTGACATAAACAAAGCACTTATTTGATTTGTTGTTTGTTGTATATTTATTAACCTCTACACTAAGAATAACTAAAGATGAGATTTTTTTTTTCATTTGCAGAACTGATCTAAGTCATTTAAAAATAGGCATTTGGCAATACTTCAACATAATCCTAAACTCGGGAAAAAAATTCCATCTGCTTTCAATAAAATAAAACTACATTTCATAAGCGTGACTTAAGGAACATTGATTGTGTAGCATTAATTTGATTTAATAAAGGCAATCAGGATCTTAACTAATGAATTTTCTTTTTTTTATTATTATATTTCTGCCAGCTGGAATGCCTGCACAGCCTCAATATGCTCTCCCAACCAGTCAGTTAGGTTTGGAAAGCTAGTATAATGTTCTAATAGTAAAGCTTGCATAGCTTTATCATTTTTTAATACAGAATCTTCAACAAACTCCCCTCCTGCACCTTCTGTAGATGTTTTCCTGCAGGGCAGTTTGCTAATGAGGCTGCAGATGAAACCTATTGGTTCTGATAGTAAATTATCTGGTTCAATTTCACCAATGCGCTGTACGTCAGCTGCGCTCTGTGCACCTGTTCTAGGACGCCTATGGGTATCCGAGCATGTCGCAGAGCAGCATTGCGTTTTTCAGACATTAGTGTTACACGGCATGCTGGGATTGCAGCTTAAAAAAATCTCAAACAGTAAAGATAACAAAGGCGTCCCTGAATAATTGTGTTAGCTTTTTTTTCCCCATCATCATAACATATGTCAAAGCTCATATAATGAGGTAATAATTTGGAAAAAAAAATGTAAGCAGTGTTTTTGCAAGAGACCAAAACAATCTTTATAAAATCGTATAGCAATAGTCCAGTTGGATTGCATCTTTCTTTTACTTGCACAGCAGTTATTTTGTTTTTTGAAGGCGTTTTAAGTTTCTGCATTGAAATGGATGTTTCTTCTTATCGACATTTATGTCACTTGTTACATCCCCCGTATACAACAGCTTGTGTAGAATAAAACATTTTATTGCAAAAGAGCACAGCCTAAAAATAAAAAAGGGGGTCAAAGTTAATATAACTTTGTATAAAATGATGCTCAATGAATTCCTTTTCATTTCATTTGGTATTCTTTGAAATATTTCACTTTTGTTTATATGAACCATTTAAATGTATGAAATTGTGTTTTATTTTCTAGCAAATCTGTTCTAAAGCAAAACATTTTGCTACAATTTCTTGAAAATAACACAAGTTGTATATTCACTCCTGTTGGAATGAGATCACTTGTATGTGTGCGTGTGCATTGAGAAGAAATGTGTATGTGGCTGTCTATATTTTATATTACTGTACATAGACTACAGCATGTGTAGACCATATATTTCAGTTTGACAAATGTTTTTATGACTTGTATTGAAGAAAAAAAGACTTTGCATATTTGTAATATACATCAGTGTATAATTCTAAGCAATGTTTTGTGTGTGTGTGTGTGTGCATTGTTGTGTCCCTCCTGGCCAACCAGCATTATGGCAGCTAGTGAATGAGGAAGGGCCTGTGTTGGAGGGGTTTATTTTTGGAATGTTTCAATCTGTTTTGGATCAGCAGTGTGTTAAGAGAAAGAGTTCATTCGCTTGAAAGACGTCGGGCCACTAAAGAAGTGAATTTGATCTTTTTTTTTCTTCTGTTCATCTGTGAATGTGACTGTTTTGATTATTATATGTATATTTTCTAATATTTGAAATGTAAACTGCTCCAACACCAAATCCTTTTATATAATACAATGGTGTCAAATGAAAGCACAATGGGGTTTTTTCTCTGCATTGAAGTTTTTTTTTTTTATCATAGCATGGAAAGTGATTTGGAATCTGCCTTTAGAAATATATAAATATCACTCAATTCAGAAACTAACTCCAAACTAGATACATTTTTAGCTTTTCAGTTTTATTATGATCATATTTATGAATCACCTTTATAAGAATCTATAGTCTTTAACATATAAAAAAGAGTGTACTATTAAAAATTCATCGTTTTTAGATTAATCCCATCCAAGGTAATCTGATGATGTAGGTTGAATTGAAATTACATGGCAAAGGTACCTCAGTCCTGTGACAAGAGATATAAAATAATAACAATAAATGTTTAACAGGAGAATTTTCCTTAAACGTCTTTATGCTGATATATTTTTTCATTTGTTTGCCTAAATCCTTTTTTTTAGTTAAACAAACTGGTTCCTTTCTTTGATCTGAGTTTTTCACATGTGAAAGCCCTAGCTTTTCCTTTGCTTATCAAAGCGTGTAATATAGCTTCCTTTTTATTTGTACTACAGTGTGATTAAATGAAGAAATAAAAAGGCAAAAAAACTAACAGCATCATTTTTAATTTATTGGACTAGTGTAAATTTTATACATACAAGTTTTAACAATTCATACACATGGTCTGAATCAGTAGAATATATCTGTTGGGCTCAGTTCCCCTAACTATTCAACCGTAACATATGTATTTTCAAAGGGAAATGAAAATTACTGTCAACTGTTGGTGCTAAATAAAACCCTCTGGCATGATTACTTGTTATTTTTTACTTAAAAACGTACGTTTTGTGACACTGGGTGCCAGAAATGTTTGTATCTAATTGCCATATAAATATAAAATGCATAACTTTTGTGAGGGTGTAATAATTGTCACTTTTGTAAAGTCTGAACATAATTCACATGTATAGTGTCCCCTAAAGACAAGTTTATAAAATGTCATATCACTTATAACTTGTTTTAATACATTTCCATTAATGCATTCTGTCTGCCCAAATTTTGAATGTGCTTTTACGCAATATGTCACTTTTTTTGGTAAATAACTTATGTCTTAATAAACTCCTCTAAAATACTCTATAGCAATTTTGTTTTATTTATATATTAAAGGTATAGTGAAGGATGTTCTTTTTCCAGGTGGATCATCAAAATAAGTGGTCCTCCTAATTGTAAATCATTCTGGTGATATCTTTATGTAAGGTCGTCCTATGTGCTCGTCCCCATTTTCACTTACCGGTGTTGAGTCTCAAATAGTGGAAAAATTGCAAGTCTTTTGGAAAGTAAACTTGTATGAACGATGCAAACAGTAACTTTTAAGCAGAGCGTTCAGGAATGGGCTTGTGCACCCGCTCACACGCGTTTAATAGGCGTTCACACTCAGGAGAGGGTACAGGGTTGTCCATGTTCATTTTTTTTTTTTATTGGAGACGCCGGGTCTTTTCAAAAATTCGCAAAATCCTCCGCTATACCTTTAAATCCATGATAGTGAACAACTATTTATTACTAAAAATCAGAATTGGAGAAAAAACTCAAAAACATCTCCAACTCTGTCATGCTGTGGGCTGGGGTTCCTCAAGGTTGTGTTCTTGGGCCTTTGCAGTTAACCCTGTACACAAAAAGGTTTTGAATATCACTATAGTGATAGTCATTAATGGAAATGATGAGCAGATTTTAAGGGGGTTAATTTAACAATAAGGGGCCAATTAAAATCTTCAGTAAAAAGAAAAAACATATGAGTGCACATTTCTCAAGACTACCTCCACTTTTTTGTTTTCCGAACTAACATTTATTTCGCAGAAAATAAATTTGGAAAAGCTTGGTAAGGGAATAAATTTATGAAAAGTTTTTGATAACTGATTCTGTTTGATATTTCATTTGTCATTGCCCAAGCAGCAAGGAGAATTTACTATTGTTTTTTGTTTCAATGCTGTTTTTTAGCTGCCCAGATATGGAAGCCTAATAATGAGTATCTCAAAATAATGGGATATTATCTTTAAATATTGACATAGTATCTCATTATAAAGATATACTATCTTATTATAATGAGATACTATCACATAATGAGATGCTATCTCATAATGAGATACTATCTCATTATTTTGTGTTACTATCCCATTATAATAAGATAGTAACACATTATAATGAGATAGTATCTCATTGTGAAATACTATCTCATTACTTTGAGTTACTAACTCATTATGATTAGATATTATCTCATTATAATTCAATTCAGTTTATTTATATAGCGCTGATTCACAACACGTCATCTCAAGGCACTTTACAGTTCAACCAGATAATACAGTCAAATTGATTCAAAGTTTTCTATCTAAGGAAAACCAGTTGATAACATTGACTCATTGCCTCAAATGCAATTCCTCACACTAAGCATGCTTGTAGCGACAGTAGAGAGGAAAAACTCCCTTTTAACAGGAAGAAACCTCCAGCAGAACCAGGCTCAGTGTGAGCGGCCATCTGCCGAGGCAGACTGGGGTTCAAGAAGACAGAAGCAGAGATACAAAAAGCAACTGTAAAATGCGGCCCCATCCAGGAAACACACGCCAGGCAGACAAGCTCCGAGCCAGCTCCCATGCCAGAGGATGAAGAGAGCACATCATGCCAGTCATGATCAGAGAAACAGGACTACACTGGAAAAAAGGCTGATCTCCAGCATCTATAAACAAGGGTACAAAAATCTCAGAATAATGAGATAGAAACTCAAATTAAGGAGTTACTATCTCATTATAATGAGATACAATTTCATTATAATGAGATACTATCTCATTATTTTGAGTTACTTTCTCATTATAATAAGATAATAACAAATTATAACAAGATAGTATCTCGTTATAATGAGATACTATCTCGTTTTAATTAGATAATTTATTTTATTTTTGGCGGAAACGGGCTTCCATAGATATCCTTGACGTTGTAAAAATAACAGCATTATAAATGCAAATTTCAATCAGCTTTTATTGACAGTTCATTTGACCAATCAGTAGTTCTTAAAAGTCATTGTTTTGATTTACCATTAGCCAATGAGAGGGAAGAGAATTCTGAACTAGGCGGGGCCACAGTATCCCAGCCCAAAGTGAGCTCCAGCAACAGATGGCGACGGCAGGAGCGGCTGGTCGAGGATCAAATCTGTCACGGAGGATGATCTGATGGCAGGGACCCGGCCTATTTCAACAATCTTGATCTCCAATGTTGGATCTGGGAAAATACAAGCCATCCGCGTTTTACTCAAAATGCACTCTTTATAGCTGCTATTTCAATTTATTTAAGTATATATTTCGGCTGAAGGCCTCAGAAGCCTCGGACTGGATTTGGCGACCAACGGTACCAAGCGTAAGGATACCTCTCCTCGGAATGTCTCCTTAAATGTTTTTGATAAGATGTTCTGTATTGAACCGTTGCTCTTTCTGAAGTCTGCTCTGTTCACGTCGTCGCGAAAAAAGTGAAATTAATGCGGTTTAGATTTAAGTTAAGGATACAAGCTAACTTTTTAGCTACATAGCAACGCTCTGGAATGAATGAATGAAGCAACGAGCAGGATTAACTAAACAAATGTTTACTCCTTACTGGCAGTTTATGTCACGGTTTCCAACAATGCGCCACTGATTTGTCTCTACTCAGGACAACCTTCTGGGCTAACTGTTTTTCGACTGTTACACTGGCTTTCCACCAATGGACAGGAATGCTTTGCTTGGGAGTGGATGGGCAGCGGCAGTTTAACAGGCAGAGATAGCAGCGCTGTGTGGGCAAAAGACTCAACTGTCGTTTCCTAATGTTTATTAGGAAGGGCGAGGTCGGCTTCAGCTAGCTCCACATATATATGCACTAGTTGGACTTGGCAGCGATAAGTGTGAAGCTTACGCCCAGAGTTTGGAATGGGAAACACGGTGTCATGCTGCGTTTCTCCGGAGTCCAGTCCCAAACTCCCTTCTCGACAACCGGCAGAGCGGCTGGAGGAGTTCCCCACCAGCACCGAAGTCAGCGACGACAACACCGGGCCCTATCTGCAGCACATCAGCGACAGGGAGGTTCCTGACGGTAGGCGCTACCACGTTATTACACTCACACTTTAATGTCTGGGAATCAGTGTGCATTTTGACACAACTAAACACTATCTGTTACATTTATACGATGAGGTTTAGGGCTAATCAAAAAAACAAAACAAAAAAAAACTGATTTTTAAAATTTATTACAGCATAATATGGGAAAAAAAAGTCAGAATTTTGACTTTAATCTCAAAATTCTGACTTTAATCTCAGAATACCCAACTTTAAAACTCAGAATTCCCGACTTTTCAACTCAGAATTCCCGACTTTTAAACTCAGAATTCCCGACTTTAATCTCAGAAATCTGACTTTAATCTCAGAATTCCTGACTTTTAATCTCAGAATTCCTGACTTTTAATCTCAGAATTCCTGACTTTTAATCTCAGAATTCCTGACATTTAATCTCAGAATTCCTGACATTTAATCTCAGAATTCCTTACTTTTAATCTCAGAATTCTGGATCTTAATGTAGATGGGCATCATGAAAGAATAGATGTGGGAGCATTTAGATTCACTGACAAAGATGTGAGTTGTTTGAGAGGGCCAATAACACTTTAGTGGAAAATGATGGAATTAGGCGACTTTTTACGTGGCGGTGATGCTACTGCATTAATGGAAGAGCAGAAGGTAATTATAACAAGAGAGCTAGTTTAGTCTCTAAAACAGACATGGCTACGGCTTGATGCTAACATGTTTGTTAGGTGTCAGAATTCAGTCAGAATTCTGAGAAAAATAAAAAAGTCAGAATTTTTTTTTTCATATTGTACTTTGATCAAAATTCTCAGTCATCCAGGTCATAGTCATTCAAATTCAATTTGAATTTGAATTGAGAAAGCTTCCTGGAGGGGAAGCGAAACGTCTTCAAACCTTGGAAACCAAGTCCAGTGGATTGTTTTTAAACTTTTAAGGAATTCATATTAGACTGAAATAAAATTTAAAATCATTTAACTTTTTTAATTTTTTCAGTAGCCCTAATCCTTTTCCGTACATCTAAGAGCAAAAAAAGGGGCTTTAAAATTTAAATCAAGTCCATCTACATGCCTCACCACAATAATGATAGTATTCAGGGTCAGAGATTAGAGATAAAAAATGAAACTCCCTTTAATCAGATGACACCTTTCATTCGACATGCTTCGCAAAAGTATTGCTATCCCTAAGTGGCTGAGGATTGCAAATTCAGTGAAAATACATGATTTTAGAGCAAATGTAAAAGGTTTTGCAAACTTAATAAATAGAATAAAGCGTATTATATTTTTACTGCTCTAACTGGGCTGCTCTTTCAGTTAAAGGCATTAACGATTACTAAATTAGTTATTAGTAATTAGTAGAGACTCTAAAAGATGCCTTCAGCTGACAGCAACCCAGTTGGAGCAGTTATAAAAAATAAAAATTTGCTTTAAGATACTGTAAACATTTTCATGTGTCAAAATACTATATTAGAAACTGTAAAAAAAAAAAAAACATTCTTTAAAGAACCTTTTGCGATCCCATTATTAATTGAAAATAATGATTGACAAATTATCGATTGGCAAAAAAAATTGTTAGTTGCAGCCCTACTTTAGTCTCATTTTGGGGTTTGCTAGTCTAATGTTTGATTTTGCATGGCATTTTGAATGTATTGTAATACAATGAATGTATTGCACCCTTTGTCCACCGTAGTATCCCTTTGCTATATTACAACTACAAACTTTACCTTATTTAAAATTAAGGTGCATTTTTGTGAAGAGCATGGGAAATGGTACAGCAACTTAAAAATCGGAAAACAAAGCAGACAGGTCAGGTTTAGCATAGCATTGTGGAGACATTTAAAGAGTAGGATCAACCTAAACTTATATCATCACCTAAAACAGAAAGATATGACACAATCGAAAAAGTCCCAGAACATGGCTTGTAACTAGAAAATGAGTAACTCTGAAGGAGCTGCAGAGATCTAAAGCTTTGTTTGGAGAATTTGTTGACAGCCCTGCTAGGATCAATATAGAATATATGAAAGGGTGGCAAGAAGAAGGATCTCCTTGACAGAAAGCCATAACTGGTGCTCTAGTGTGAGAAGAACCAATGATTTTCAACACTGAAACACGGCAGCTTTTCTCTTCCCTTAACATAGCATTCCAACTCTGCTCCTTGATTTCATTGTTTAATCTTGTTGAAATTCCGAAATTATGTTCCAAAACATTATTCCCCCCCGCCTCAGAGAGCCCTGATTAATAAAGGCATCTCAAGCATTTTTTCCTGTAGCTGCCTTCAAAGCTCCCTTTTGTATTATCAGCACTTGTCTTCCCTCTTTGCATTGATTTCCGGTTATGTAAAGTATTTATGGCATTCCTGTCACTGCGGACGGCCCAGAGACACCAGCTGTTGGTCAGGCATGGATCAGAATCCATCCAGCAGTCCTTCACACATTCCTCCCTGACGTGCTTTCACAAATACCCATAAACATCTAATCCCTCGTCTTTTATGTAATGTCTCTCCTGCAGGGATTTGAAGAAAGACTTTCATGTTCTAATCATTTTTATTTTTGGGCGGTTATCTTGAGATTTAGCCACGATTCATGCAAACAGCCTTTCAGCAGCTGACAGCTGAGTCTTGCAAATATTGTTTTGCAGGAACCCGACTTCTGTCAGGTGTATGTTTGTTCATGGTTTTTAGCTCTCTGCTCATCTCTGACCACAAACGAGAAGCAAACAGACACTCCCATCTCCGCTTTTAAGCCTTTGCACACTTAATGTTTTCCCAGAGCTGGCCTTGGAATCTAATCCATCGGACCACGCCCGGGCAAGCACCATCTTCCTCAGCAAGTCTCAGACAGACGGTCAGTGGTCTGGATTTTTCACTCAGAAATGTCCCATTGAGTGTTATCCATGTGAGATAATTTGCACATATCTGAAACTGTTTACTGTCCATATCATGTCATTTTTACTTTCTTTTTGTGCCTGTTTGGTTTTCATGACAGCAGCAGAACTCTGGATAACTGCAGCGTCAGCTGTGGTTATTTATGGGTTTGTTTAACCCTTAGGTTTGAGTAAAGATGAAATAAATCAAATCAGAATCTGACAAACCTCACATTTATAGACCGTATGGATGCTCCAATCAGGATTTTTGCCACCGATCTTGATACCGATCACCCAGAGGGCCCGTTACACAGATGGCTGTTCATTTTTAGATTTTGGTGTAAATGCTACAACTGTGATCTGGAATAATGCCATCATAAAATCACCTAGTTTTGACAAACCATATAAAAAAGCATACCATTGTAAGTATTCGGTCAAGAAGTCATATGAAAAACGTATTAAAAGGTTTAATTTAACAGGTTGAAAACAGTCACACATAAATAACTTTTTTCATATATAAATATCACAAAACCGGCTATAAGAAATAATGTACGGGAAAAAGAAAATCAAAAAGTATAATCATAAGTTACTAAATGAAAACTGCCTGAGAACCTGGCTGATTGTTTTATGGTTTTGCAAACTGAGTTGTTCTGCTTTCTGCACCGTGTCACAGATCGAGTGAGGCGCTAAAACCCTCTTCCTAGTTCTTATCAGTTTTGGACATCTTTTTTTTTAAGATGCATCCTGCAGCTTTAAGGAGAGTGAGACTCCACTGTGGTGAAGCTCGAACTGCACTATGTCTCAGAAATATTTACGGCCTGTTTTTTTTTGTTTTTTTCCTGCAGTGTGCCTTGAAAACTTGCAATCCATCAAGGGCTTGCTTTTAAATTACATGTTGTATTTAGTTTATTGATGGATTTTGACACTTTACGCCTCAGAGGAATTTTTCCATTGCTAGACCCGAACTTCATATTACTCTCAAAGCACAAACGTTCCACATGACCGTGCTTAGGATCAGCTGCCGCTCTGTGCAGTGAGACTGAAGGGGGGAGACATGCTGCAGGCGGAGCCTCTGCAGACTGCAAAGCAAAAGATCAGGGGATCAGTTTCTGTGATCGGTAACAACAGATGGTAATCCCAAATCGATTCAATTCAATTTATTTATATAGTGCCAATTCACAACAGGTAATAAGGCACTTTATAGTTCTCCAGATCATACAGTGAAATTGATTCAAAGTTTTCTATCTAAGGAAAACGAGTTGATTGCATTGACTCGAATGGAATCCCTCACACTAAGCGTGCTTGTAGCGACAGTGGAGAGAAAAAACTCCCTTTAAACAGGAAGAAACCTCCAGCAGAACCAGGCTCAGTGTGAGCGGCCATCTGCAAAGGCCGACTGGGGTTCAAGGAGACAGAAGCAGAGATAAAGAAAGAATCAGAGATACAAATGGCAACTGTATCACATGCTTATTCAAAAAAAATTGGCCATTACTATAAGTGGCCGATTGATGAGCACACCCATAATAGATAGATAAAGAAAATTAACGTATACAGTAACTGCATGTTGACAGATCTTAGACCAGCTCAGAGATACAAATGATGGGCTATAACTAAGCAAATGCCTCAGATGAGAATCACTTAAGACTGGTTGCTAAGATCCAACAGGAACATATAGTTTGAAGTTAATGTCTATCATGATTAATCAAATTACTAGAACCTAAAATATCACAAGATGAAAGTCTGTGATATTCCTCTTCATCCCACTCATCCTGAGCAACTTTAATACAAGGGAAAGTTTAAAGTAATTAAAGAGGAGCTGTAAAGTTGTCATCCGCAGTTGTTTCTCTGTAGTAAATGGGTGTAAAATCACACTGAGTTTGATGCTGGTAAGGAAAAAACTTTTCCCAAACCTCCTCTGATATCGATAATCATTTGTCTGCAACAGGTAGGGGGTTAATATCGGTCATGGCTTCATGGTATCACTCTAAAAAGATCAAACGTCTTCTCTGAAGTCCTGCTAACCAGGAAACAGACTTGTTTGGAAACTGCAAACTATTTGAGCAGCTATTTAAATATGGCTAACCATGTATAAAATGTATTCTTAAATAATCTTTTTATGCCTTTAACTGGGTTTATTTTCATCTCCTGCTTTCCATCATTATAAAACCTTAATATAAGTTCTATGAAGATAAATCTCCCAAGATGTACATGAACTCATATTAAAGCTGTTTTTTTTTCTTTTTAATGATACACTATATTGCCAAAAGTATTTGCTCACCTGCCTTGACTCACATATGAGCTTAAGTGACATCCCGTTCCTAATCCATAGGGTTCAATATGACGTCGGTCCACCCTTTGCAGCTAGAACAGCTTCAACTCTTCTGGGAAGGCTGTCCACAAGGTTTAGGAGTGTGTTTATGGGAATTTTTGACCATTCTTCCAGAAGCGCATTTGTGAGGTCGCACACTGATGTTGGACGAGAAGGCCTGGCTCACAGTCTCCGCTCTAATTCATCCCAAAGGTGTTCTATCGGGTTGAGGTCAGGACTCTGTGCAGGCCAGTCAAGTTCATCCACACCAGACTCTGTCATCCATGTCTTTATGGACCTTGCTTTGTGCACTGGTGCACAGTCATGTTGGAAGAGGAAGGGGCCAGCTCCAAACTGTTCCCACAAAGTTGGGAGCATGGAATTGTCCAAAATGTCTTGGTATGCTGAAGCATTCAGAGTTCCTTTCACTGGAACTAAGGGGCCAAGCCCAGCTCCTGAAAAACAACCCCACACCATAATCCCCCCTCCACCAAACTTTACACTTGGCACAATGCAGTCAGACAAGTACCGTTCTCCTGGCAACCGCCAAACCCAGACCCGTCCATCAGATTGCCAGATGGAGAAGCGCGATTCGTCACTCCAGAGAACGCGTCTCCACTGCTCTAGAGTCCAGTGGCGGCGTGCTTTACACCACCGCATCCGACGCTTTGCATTGCACTTGGTGATGTATGGCTTGGATGCAGCTGCTCGACCATGGAAACCCATTCCATGAAGCTCTCTGCGCACTGTTCTTGAGCTAATCTGAAGGCCACATGAAGTTTGGAGGTCTGTAGTGATTGACTCTGCAGAAAGTTGGCGACCTCTTCGCACTATGCGCGTCAGCATCCGCTGACCCCGCTCCGTCAGTTTACGTGGCCTACCACTTCGTGGCTGAGTTGCTGTCGTTCCCAAACACTTCCATTTTCTTATAATACAGCTGACAGTTGACTGTGGAATATTTAGGAGCGAGGAAATTTCACGACTGGATTTGTTGCACAGGTGGCATCCTATCACAGTTCCACGCTGGAATTCACTGAGCTCCTGAGAGCGACCCATTCTTTCACAAATGTTTGTAAAAACAGTCTGCATGCCTAGGTGCTTGAATTTATACACCTGTGGCCATGGAAGTGATTGGAACACCTGATTCCAATAATTTGGATGGGTGAGCAAATACTTTTGGCAATATAGTGTATGTTTGGTTATAAGTAAAGAAAAACCTTGTGTTTGGTAACGCCCTGAGATTCCTGTTTTTTAAACACTTCTTTCTTTGCAGTGCGCGACAAGAGAAAAAGCAACCACATAAACCATATCAGCCATGTAAGTTCCTCCTCCTCTTCTTCTTTTTTAAGAAGCTTCGCTACAGCTTCACAGACTGCTTGGTCTATAAATAGTTTGGATCAAGTATGATCATATCTATTTTTGCTCGGCTTCTTTAGAATCTGTTTCATCTAATGAAAGGTTCTCCAGATGGGACGTAAAAATTCTCACATTTTGAATATATAACTCAAATGCTCTCCCTCCCACTGTCAATCAGATTACACATTTTAAAATGCTGGTGTGTTCATAATCCTGTTTTTGATTGTTATTACTGTTATTTATATTACACTGTTTTGTAGTTATCCAAACCCCTTTGTAACATTTGTAACCTGAAGGAAATTACCAGTTTTTAGTTTCATTGCGGTGCAGATAAAAGGGTCTGAGTTGGAGCCTGTCTGTGTGGGATTTGTATGTTCTCCCCTGGTTTCCTCAATCAGTCCAAAACATGTATGTTATTTAGTTGGTCCCTTTAAGTTGGCCTTAGATCTGAGTGTTTGCCTCCATGCTATGCTTCTAGCCCTGAGGTTGACCTGTGACCTGCCTCCTATCAACCAGAACCCCCCTCCCATCCCTGTCAGGGCTGAAAGGTTATATAAACTGGATCCAATGATTACATTATATAGAGAATGAACTCAAGAGAGCTTTCAGTGTTCTTCTCGTTACATGAGAGGACGGAAAACATCAACAAAGATTAGATGATATCTTTAGTTTATCAACTTTTTTTCTGACTTCTCAACAGCCGAAGTAGCAGTTTGATGATTGATTTTGATGATCTATGTCCAGTCACTGAATATTTTTATTTATTATGATCAATATGCAGGGTCTTGGAGCACAAGTGACACAATAACTGCATGATTTTAGTTATAACCATTTTAATCTAAATGTTTCTGGGGGGTTTTTCTTTTATTTTTGAAAAACCTTGATTACCTTTATTTACTCTGACAACCAAAATTAGAGCACTGCTCTAGTAGAGCCTGGCTGAGGGTAATTTATTTTTCTGGGATTCCTCATAAACCCAGATTGAGCAGAGATCACAATCATTTCCTCCAAATTTACATGAACTATATCACAATAGTGAACATTGAGCATCTCCACATAGAGCTACCTTAACATCTTCTTCTAATACCTTCCTTTTCTTCGTAAAATATTTTGATATAAATGCACCCAGATAAAAAATGATCCAACATTAAGCTATTTCGCGTTGTTTATAATATATCAGAAACATTACACATGGAGGCTAAACTATATTAATAATGTTACTGTTGTTTAAATGCAATATATCTCAAACTTAGGGTCATTTTCACAGGCTTGAATTAAAAATGCATTTATCTTAACCTTCCTTAGGTACCCTTCTTTCAGCTTTTCTCTTCCTCTAACTGGACTGCAATCATTCATGCTTTGATTTAGCCTGTAGGAGAGAGAAATACCAAAATTGACAAGTCAAAAAATGGTTTAAACTACTCCAAAAAGCGTATTTCAAGTCATTAATGCTTAATCTAAATCAAAACTGCATCTGTTAATATTGTTAATTCTTTAAATCCATTAGCAGAGAAACACATTGGAAGAGGCAAATAAATGACTAAAGCTCTATCAGGGTTTCTGCAGATCATTAAAAGATATAAAAAAATTTAATTAAGGTCTTATTTGGCATTATAATTAATTAAATGTGATTATTGTTGAATTTAAAATGCGTTAATAAAAAAAATAATAATAATAACTATTTCGTCAGATATAACTGGTTCTGCGTGTTTGCACGGAACTGCTTGCTTTTGATCGTAAAGCCGTATGTTCGGAAAAGAAGCTCGCGGCGGAGAAAAAGCTAGAGAATGGGGAAAAAATGCAAAATTCAACTAAAGTGGCTGGAAAACGAGGAATTCTGGACATGGCTGCAACTTGTCGACAGTAAAGATGATTAGGGATTCTGCAGTGTTGATGGCATTAGAATTATTCCAAAGAGTCTTAAAAAGCATTCAATTAGAGTTACTCAGTCCTGTATAAATACTATCAATGAAATGCAGGATGTAATGTATTTAAATGTAACAGCTTCAGAGAACAAAAAACATACTTTTAATATGTTCCTTAATTTCTCAGCATGGGATTATTAAAGTAGATCTATCTATAAATCCATTAAAAATCGATCAAATAGAAAAAAAACTTTTTCTTCAGACACGGTAAACAAAAACAATAAAAATACACTAAAAGTAAGATATTCCTCTATTACCATATTATACATTACAGCTGAATCCTGTTTTGTAATGGGCTCCTGTAGAACTTATTGTTAACTTTGAAACAATCTGGGGTTGGTCTCCTCTGTTCTGACTGCAGCCACCGTTTACTGCATGAAGAGCTGAGGAGTCCGACCACCCGTCAGTGCTTTGGAGGTGGGAGGGGCTTACAGTGACAGTGGACATTTTGTAGGCCAGTGTTTTTCAATCCTGGTCCTCAAGGCACCCTGCCCTGCATGTTTTAGATGTTTCCTCCCAGCTTTCACACAACTGTTATCAATTAATAGCAGATTATTAGGCTTTGCCGAACTGCAATCATCTGAATCAGGTGTGCTGAAGCTCAGAAACATCCCAAACATGCAGAGCAGGGTGCCTCGAGGACCAGGTTGAAAAACACTGTTGTAGGCAACAATACAGAGAATAGTTGCTAGATTTGTCGCTAGAAAAAAAAAACAACAACTTGATGAGTCGGCAACAGAGTCGGTTGGCAGAGAAGTCAGCCTTCCAGAAAGGCAGGAGTATACGATTTTTGTTTTGAAAAACTAAAGTAAATTGAAACATTACTTGATATTTCAATCAATTTCACTCAGATTATGGGTTTTTATTTTTTAAGGTGATCCCTCATATGTGCTGCAGTTTCTTTTTTTAGGGGTTGAATCTTAAAACCAGTATTGCTTTTGCTTCTTTCATTTACATAATAAAAAAGACAGTGAAAGCAAATGTTACACACGTCACGATATAAGCAAAAAAGGAAACCTTAATGAATCAGATGGCGCCTGTGGTTCAAAACCTCCATTCCTGTCCCTGGAACATTAGCACATGTTCATTGTGTGATTCTCTTTTTCTTTTTTTTCCCCTCCAGGTTTCTCCTGGTCCTCCGTTAAAGAAGTACAGCTCCTGTTCTACCATCTTCATAGACGATAGCACCGTGAGCCAGCCAAACCTCAAAAGCACAATTAAATGGTGAGACGTCTCTTCCGGCAACAGACGCTCATTGAGGCGCTGCTGAAATGTCTCTGATTTCACATGAGGTTTCTGTTACATCACACTAAGTTTAATCCTCTGAAGACAAGCAGACAGATGCTGAACTCAACAGATGGTTGATCTCATCTTGCCTCATTTTACCTCGTTTCAATGTTATAACACCATTCAGTCACTTTACTAAATCCTTAACATGTCAAAGACTTTGCTGACCACTAACTCACAGGCAGGCCATGATTTAATGGTTTGTTTGGGTGAATGAAATAATACAATAAAAAGACAAACTTTTATTTTTTTCTTTCTCCAGTGTCACTTTAGCAATATACTACCACATCAAAAAAAGGTGGGTTTGAATCTTTAAACTTACATTTTTATAAATGAGCTTGGAAAGTCATTTAAACGGATGTTCTGCTCGTCTTCTAGGGACTCTGACAGGTCGCTGGACATCTTTGATGAGAAGTTGCACCCTTTATCAGTAAGTGTCTCCATGTTTCTAAGGTCTTACTTTTAATTCTCTTTTTATTGTATAGTATTTAACTTTATGTAGAAAACTTTGCTGCACTCTCTCTGTGATTTTAACAGTTTCATTTTGTGTACCTTCGAATAGCCAGATACCGTATTTTCACGACCATAAGGCGCACCGGACTAAAAGGCGCACTCTCAGTTATGTGTCCCATTTCTGTATTTAACACACACATAAGGCGCACCGGACTATAGGGCGCGTTTTTTATATACAGGTACATGTCCTCTACTACCTTTAAATACCTCTACTGCGTATTTAAAAATACAGCGGGGGCAAAACTGAGTATGACTGTGCTTTATTCATGTATTTATTACAAAGTATTAATCAAACCTGGCAGCTGGCTGTGAGACAGACCAACATCGCAGATGACACAGCGCTGTGGTCACTCCTAAATTAACTTAAAATCCTGAAACCTGCCGACGGAATATGTTCGCTTTTATTACCGGTATCCTGGTGCCTGCAGCTAAAATTATTTAGATGAAAAACACCTGCCAGCAGCCGCGGTGAACCCCAGGCTGCCCAGCCTACAGGCTGCTGATGAAGAGATTTCTGCTGTCAGCGCACCGCTGGTATGTGGGGGTCCGAGCGCCTCCGACAGAAATAGATAATCTGGATGAACTGACTGCAATTATTAAGTTTTCAGGTGGACTTTCTCACTTAAAAACATATTAAAACTACTTTATTCCCACTGATCACAGCAAATATAGCTGCAAGATTTAGATTATTTAGATGAAAAACACCTGCCAGCCACCGCGGTGAACGAAAGGATTTCTCCTGTCGGCGCACCGCTGGTATGTGGGGGTCTGAGCGCCTCCGACAGAAATAGATAATCTGGATGAACTGACTGCAATTATTAAGTTTTCAGGTGGACTTTCTCACTTAAAAACATATTAAAACTACTTTATTCCAACTGATCACAGCAAATATAGCTGCAAGATTTAGATTATTTAGATGAAAAACACCTGCCAGCCACCGCGCTGAAGAGGAGGAGACGCGCCCAGAGGCTGCTGTTGAATTAAGTTTTCAGGTAGAAAAATAGAGCGGGAGCAAAACTGAGTATGATTGTGCTTTATTCATGTATTTATTACAAAGTATTAATCAAACCCATCAAAGTCATCATCCTCTGTTATCCTCAGCATTCCTCTGAATTAAACAGCTGCGCTAAATCAGACATGCCAGTTTCTCCTTCTTCGCTGTCAGTCACTTTCCGTGCAGCGCAGCTCCTCAGAAATAGTGCCGGCTTTTGCGAAAGCTTGAACAACAGAGCCAGCAGACACAGTCCATCTACAATCAATCCGCAAACGGTGGCGTAACTTGCACGGCGCTGCCTTCCACTTATCGTGAAACTGTGGTCTCAGTCTGTCATCCATCGCTCCCACGCCGCTCGCAGCCTTACTTTGAAGGGCCGCTTCACACCGATGTCGAGCGGTGGAAGTTCCTTTGTCAGACCCCCGGGATAACGGCGAGCACAGCGTTCATTTGATTCATCTTTTTTTCACATCGGCTGTGAGATGGGCACGCAGCGATGGTGATGCGTGGAAAAAAGCACCTGGTCTCCTCACATACACCTGCCTTTCATCATCTCCTCATCCATCCAGCCCTTTTCATTTGCGTTAATATCATATGTCATCAGAGCGCTGTCTGTCTCGCTGTCAGCTCCCAGATCAGCTTCTCTGATTGGTTGATGCGGCGCGTCCAGCAGCAAAACTTCAATTTTTCCATCTGAGCAGCAGCAGCGCGTTGGCGGTGCGTCAGATGCTTAAACGCTCCCGACGTGCTGCACCAAAACGCGCTGCGGGACCTTTTGCTGCACCTATATGCGCGTCAACCATTGACTTTGCATGTAAACTCGCTGCTTCTGCTGCACCTGCTGGGTCCGGTTCACACCGATGTCGAGCAGCGTTAATTTGTTTCCCCATGTTTTTCACATCAGCTGTGAGATGGGCACGCATGGAGTTACATATTAACAGCGATGGTGAGGGGTGGAAAAAAAACACCTGGTCTCCTTACATTCAGCCACTCTTTCATCATCTCCTCAATGAGGTGGTCTCAAAAGTCGCAGTTACAACACACATAGGGCGCACCGCACCATAGGGCGCACCGCACATTTCGAGGGAAAAAAAAGACTAAGTGCGCCTTATAGTCATGAAAATACGGTATGTTTAATTTTGGAATTACTTCTGTAGTCCTCTTTTCAGTCCCTTTGATATGTCCTCCATTCATTTTGCCGGTTTTATATTTCTAATTGATACATTAGGGTTAAATTAGATTTTTTTTTTCCCAAGTTGTATTAAGTTTTTAAGAAAGAAAAGGTTTTTTTTTTTCTTTTCTTTTTTTGCATAAAATCCTTTCAGTTTCAGGGGTTCATCTAATATTCCATTTCCTAAAAGGGAAAAATCAAAACTTCTAAAAGTTAAAGGTTTTTTTCTTAAATTATTATTTTTTTTGATAATTTGAGTAATATGTCAAATTAGAATAAACATTCTGGATTTTCAGTCCTTAACAGAACCCATAGTTGCATTCCCAGTCATTCAATGATTAAAAATTACAATCTTCTTAGAGCAGATATTTATATTAAGATTGAAACCCTTATTTATTTTTAAAAACAGATGACATAGAAAAGTAGTTATTGATGACACCAAATAATTTTTTAAGGATCAGTTTTCACACTGGAAAAATTGTCTAGAAATAAGTAAAAATATCTTAAATTAAGTATATTTACCCTTAATTTGAGCAGGTAAATGAGATAGTTTGCCAATAGAGTATTTTCACTCTTAAAACAAGATCCTTAGAAAACACTTAAAATAAGGCAAATTGTGTTTTCTTATTTTCAATGTAAATTGTCTTGTTCCATTGGCAAAATGTCTCTTTTACCTCCTTAATCCAAGAACAAATGCACCTATTTTAAGAAAAAAAATGACTTGTCTAGATTTAGATTTTTTTTTTTGCAGTGCATTTGTTGATTTCTTTATATCTCACTGGATCTGTAGACATGATCAGAACATCCCTTTCATCTTTATCTCTGAATAACCTATCCAGGTTTCCTAAATCCAAACTTGACGTATTTGTTTTCTGGCTTTACATGCTAGTGATTTTAAATGGTGTGATGATACGGTACTGCTAATTTGGAGGAGTAGTATGTTGTGGAGCTCTCTTATATAATTACCGCAATGTAGTAAACATTAAAAAGTAAAGTAAACTGAATAAATCAAACTCTACTAGAATTTATTTTTACTGTTAAAAATGATGAAACGGAAACTAGATTAAAATAAATGAACTTAAGAGTTTAAAACCGGTTTTCATTAATATGTTAACAAGTAGTCGTGACCTTAAATTGGGGCGGAAACAATCAGATTAATCGATTATTTAAATAATCGTGAACTGATTTAGTAGTCGATTAATAGCTAACTGGAGTAAAGAGACTGTAAAACACGCCTAAAAACTGACAGAGCAATCCACTTAGAGCAACTATGACAAAATTGTAAAAAAAAAAAATTTTCTTGTCAATATGCTCTATCCAGAACTCGAGTGGAAAAGTTTTAGTTTCACCTGATTTAATTTAGCAAAAAGTCTTCTTTAATGAACCTTTGCTTTCCAATCTACAGATTAATCAATTTGTAAAATAATCTTTAGTTGCAGCTCTACCTTGAATACACCAAAAGGGGGCAGGTAGGATCTTCCCTGGTAGTTTTCTCTCTGGTTAGTGAAACTAACTATAGTTTTCTAATGTAAGGTAGACTTATTTCTGCGTCACACAATCAACGAGCCAGTGTTTCCATGGTGACAGAACAGAGAAGGACAGGGAGACAAACAGCCTGGAGGTTTATTTCCTCAACACGTGTTTCCTGACGTGAGAAAGAGAGGTCGTTTTAAATCAAGAAGGACCTGATAGGGATGCAGTAAAGCTGATGAAGTTTAGCTTGATGAGTCCTGCTCCGCTTGGCGAACACCAGCAGCTCAGACACAAATACACAACCCTGCTGACTATTTCTGGTCTACAGGTTGCTCTTTTTAGTTGTGTTTTTCTGCTCATTTTTTCTTCTTGTTTACAGGTGTTTTTAGTTTCCACCTGTGCCTTCTGTCAGGGTTATTTGTTTATTCATGTATACTGCTTGTTCAACCTGAAATTCTGTTAAACCTGTCATCATGTCTTACAGTCATTTAAAGTCGTAGGGAAATCATATATAAATGCCAAATCCTTTTGGCTTAAACATGTATATAAATGTACTCCTTATCAGACTTTATTGTCCCAAAATGTAGAAAATTTCTATTTGCAATGGTTGGAACAGCCGCTTCCCTACGACTTTAAGACATGCATCGGAAAATGTTTTTCAAAGTGTTTTTTCCGAGTGATCTTTTCTCAGGAAGGAATTGGGCAGAGAAAGCTAAATAGCTTTCCATAACACTTCTAAGCTGCAAGTCTTGGTAAAAAACATTTTTATGGTTTCATAATTATAACAATAAAATATTATTGATTTTGTTTAGTCAGTTAATTAAGAATAGAATAGAATAGAATAGAATAGAAAATCCCTTTATTGTCCCACGATGGGGAAACTGGTGTTTACAGCAGCAAAAAGATTAGAAAACAAATTCTATTATAATTACATTTGAAGTCAGTTAAAATCTAATATTCTAGTTGTAATACTGTAGTTAAAAGTTCTATTTATTATGGAAATTTTGTTTTATTGATATTATTTTTCGGGCCTCCTTAGATTCTGTTACCAGTTATTAACTGCAGATATAATTGTATTATTTCATAAAGGACTTATTTCGAAAAAGTATTCTATGCAGCCAATTAGGCTGCATTTATAGGTTGTTTTTTTCCTATTTCTATTTTTTTTTTGCATATCTTTATACTTTTTAAAAGATGATATCTGATTTTGTTTCTAAAACAAAGATCCACTATTTTTTATTCATGAAGATTGAAAACTTCCCTTCCTCTAATCCTGGGTTTATCCTGAAATCTTTGAGAAGGACTCCATTCAAAAACATCCTGCTTGTTTGTCTAAAAGGTCCGTTATCAATGAAAATGTTTAGCTCTCATCTTATACGTCACAAATTACGGGAAACTGTGTTTTTGGAGGTTTTGCATTGCTGATCAGTGTGCCGTTTGTGGTTTTATTTGGCCCAAGATTCAAGGAGAAATGCAGGCGCCGCTCCTCTCTGGCTAACTGCATCACAAACCACTCTTCAGCTGTGGCTGTAAACCATCTCCACATCCTGCTTCCTCTCGGTCATATCTGAATCTTTCCATCCCACGCAGAAAGAGCCAGTGCCAGACGACTACGCATACGTCGACCCAGAACACAAGCTGATCTACCGCTTCGTCAGAACGCTCTTCAGCGCTGCACAGCTCACTGCAGAATGTGCCATCGTCACACTTGTATGTATAAATAATAGTGGGAGAATAAATAATTACATCAATGTGTTTTATGTCTCATTGCTTTTCAAATGAGAAGGAGCCGCGTAGGTGGTCTTTGCATAAAATTGCAAGTAAGATAATTTTTCAGCTGTATCCTGCTGTGATGTTTCCTTATTTGGTCACCAGAGGGCAGTAGCATCCTATAAACTCCAATGAATCTTTCTAGAATGAAGTGTTTTTATCTGAGTGCAGGATGAATGCATGAAAATATTTTCAGTCATTTTAGGAAATGAGTTTTGACTTTATCTGACTGCTGATTCCGCTAACTAAAGTATTAAAGGTAGAATATGCAATGCTATTCTAAAGACCCAAATGGATGTTTAAATTATTGTAAATAATTATGCTTTTTATTATTCATCCAGGTCTACTTGGAACGTTTGCTGACTTACGCCGAGCTGGACATTTGTCCTGCCAACTGGAAGCGGATCGTCCTGGGAGCCATCCTGTTAGCCTCCAAGGTCTGGGATGACCAGGCGGTGTGGAACGTGGACTACTGCCAGATCCTTAAAGACATCACTGTGGAGGACATGTAAGTGGTGTGCATAGATGGGTGGCATCATTTTCCACCTGAAAGCCTGAACAAAGGAGAATTTTAAAGAAAGAAGTAATTTCTCTAGTCCCTGATGATGTCAAATAACATATATACACACACAAAGTAAACCTTTATATATTAACAATTAGTGGTTGAATTAACAAAGAAAAATGTTTTCTTACACATCATTAAACCGGACAAACTCATCACATAAAAGAACAGGAACCTGAGAATACCATTGAGGCTCCTTTTTAAGAATGAACAACAGCGCCATCTAGCAGACAGCAGGAATATTACAACGCAGAAAGAAGTTCCTGAAGCAGACGCATCACTTAATCTGATGATTTTCAACTTTTCACATTTTTACATTTGATTTCAAATAACTTTACAGCTCAATTATTCCTCCAAAGTTTGTGGGATGAAAAGGGCAATAAGGAACATTTCATTAACGGATTCAACTATTAATACAACAACTTTATTTTTCTAATTATTTTGTAGCATCGACTGAAACTGTTGCTTGTTGCGAATCAGCTACTGCTTCCTGGTTGTTTTGTCGGTATCCACTACACTGACATCTTTTCTCTTTTAAAAACAACAGAAAAGAAAAAAAAAAAACAGGCTGTGTGTTTATTTAGGTTTAATCTGTTGAATAAACTAACAAGAAAATTTAAAACGTGTGAGTAAAAAACACTCTAAAACCACAGGAAAACATGCAATAGAAACCACTTTTCATTTTCAGACAGAAAGGTGATACATTCCTAATATTCATAAAGGGCATTTAGTGTCGTTCAGGAGCTAAAATGTTCTTTTCTGTTGAACTTAGTAGATAGTTATTAGAAAAATTAATACATCATAAAACTGAAGCTAGACCACTTTAACAAATCAGTAGATTTGTAAAAAAAATAAAATAAAATTAAATACGCCCCCCAAAAAGAGATACTTCTGATTAAGGTAAAGAAGTATTAGTCCTGCTATTTAGTCAAATATTTATTTTGTCCTTAATTTAAGACATAATTTTGTACTTGGTTAAAAAAAAGGATGGCTGGATAGGTAGATCTGTTTTTCTAATTTATTTCATTTTTGCCTGTAAATCTGGTAAAACGCAAACATTATGGCTGTATATTAACCATGAAATTCAGTGGTCTCTTTTTCTATTTTTATTTTTATTTTAATGAGGGTAAAACAATTATAGGGTTTAAAAATTAGGGCTTTTTTAGTGCTTTGTGTTTGTTTTTTGTTAAGAATACAAACACAAATGAACCACAAGCCTAAACGGACATTTTTGATCTATTTAAGGAACATTCAGAAGTGTCTCCTTTGATAGACACAAAAAACTCCATCAGCTAAATAGGATGGAAAGGTGAGAGGGAAACTTCTGAACACATTCAGAAGTTTCCTTTTCACCTTCTAACCCCAAAATACTCAAACTGATCCAAGAAGAAGAAAAATGCAGAACATTAAAGCAAATACATCCACCTTTTATAAGTATTAGATTTTTTTGCTGTCTTGGTGCCACATAGGCTCCAAAAAGGCTCTGATACAACATGCTTGTCCTTCTAATAAGAGCAATATAATAAGGTGCACTTAAAGCAGCCAGAAAAAGTGCTGGAATAAATGGAAGCTGCAGCATCTCTGCCGTCTGGCTGTGAGCCGCTGAAGAGGCCAGGGGCTGCACTTGGAGGACCACGGCTTTATTTCCTGCAATTGCTTTTCTCATGTCTGTGTGTAAAAGAGGTTGAGAGTGCTGGCTTGTTTTTTCTGATTTGGACAGAAGCTGCCTGCATGTGTGTGTTTGCCGTCCGTGCCCCCATCCTTTCCTGAGCCGCTCTCTCTCCGTCCGTCTGACCCACGCGCTCCCTGCTCTGTTTTCATTGCTGCCACTGAAGTGTCTTTGTGAGCTGGTTCGAGTCTGGGCCGAGGGATGGGAAGAATAGGAGAGAGGGAAACAGAGAAAAATGGAAGGGAGGGTCTCAAGTGCTCTCACTGCTTCTACATAATGGCCCCGGCTCTCGTCCTCTCCATTAGTTGCCCCGGGAAACCAGACATCACACACACACTCACTCCTATGTCCTCTTACCACCTTTGCTGACCAACAAAGCATCCTGGATGTTGTCTCCTTGGAGACCACCTCCCCTTAGATTTACTTGCGACTCTGATGATGAGGGATCATGAGAGTTGTTGTCTGGGGGGAAAAAAGGCGACTGTTTCACTTCGGGAAAGTGGGTGGAAATACATTTTTGATCACCTGCAGCTCAGTGGAACCTGAAGTCAGAGAGACCCATCTCTATAGAGATATTCACTACTAAGTCTACTTTAAGCAGACTGATATGATGTATCTGTAGATGAGATGAATAAACATGGTTTCCAGCTCTCATTGTGTATCTTTATCCTCCAGGAACGAAATGGAGCGCCAGTTTTTGGAACTTCTCCAGTTTAACATCAATGTGCCAGCCAGTGTTTACGCCAAGTATTACTTTGACCTGCGGCAGCTGGCTGACGACAACAACCTCAACTTCCCGCTGGAACCCCTCAACAACCAGCGTGCTCAGAAACTAGAGGTGACCTGTAAACAGTTTACTAATTCACTTGAGCAGTTCCTTTTCTGTTACAACATACAACTGTACAGATTTAAAATAAGAAAATAAGAATTGGGTTTAAAGGTTTTATTATGCATTATAGCTAGAGGTTTAAATTAGTGTTACACTAAAATGGGGCAGGGCCCCAATATCTGCCCTAAAATGGTTGTATCGGTATCGGCGAGTACCGACAAATAGGGCACCGATACCATTTTGAGCCAAAAGTTTATTCAACTATTGTCACTGACTGGATTCACGTTGTATAAAGGCTGATTTATAATTCTAAACTAGGTCGTCTGCGTAGGTGTCGCAGTGAACAAAAAAACGCCCCCTCCGCAGATGATCTGCTGCACCTCTCCCAAATTGTAGGTGACTGCAGACGGTGCTGCAGACAGGGGGCCTCTGATTGGTCTAATCTACATCCGCTTGCCGGCTTGTTTTGTTTGTATAACCGCAATTGCGGAAAACTACTGGTGAAGTTGGACCAGCTAGAAGAGCGAGATGCGCGAGAACGCTGGGACCATTTTTTCCATCCCCGCTCTTTTTTGCCCTCATGTCCGTCCGTTGTCCGACAAACTCGCCCCACTTCCTAACCGCCTCGGCCGTATCCAGACCCACAGCTAGTTTGTGATTGTCCCTCTTGTATTGTAGCATGGAATGTAACATAGCCCAGACACCGCTTCAAAATTGAGCATAAATCAAAAATTTCTGTGTCAAGCTCACTGTGACACATTGCTGCGAAAGGATAATCAGACCTTTAGTCTTTTTCTTGCTTCACAAAAGTAGGCAGCAGCTTGACAAAGCCATGATGGAAATTATTTTACATCCGAGTAGTATGCAGTTCTTCATATATACACACACACATCAATTTCAAACAAATGGTATCAGTATCGGCCGATACTGCACAGCCAGGTTTCGGGTATCTGTGCAACACTATTGTAAATATTTACATGCAGCCATATTAATGTACCTCAGCCACATGCAGGAATTGTTCTGGTTTTATCCGACAAAAGAACTTTGGATTGTTCACCCTTTGTGATTCATCTGTACCACTTGCCATGAAATGAACCCGGAGCGTTATGCTGCCAACACCATGATAAAGTGTTTGTATAGTGCTCTTAGGTTTTCAGTTTGATTCAGTTCATTTATATAGCACCAATCCACAACACATGGTATGTCATGGTACTTTACAGACAATACAGTCAGATTGGTTTTTAAGTTTCTATAAAAAAACAAACAAACAGCTGATTGCATCCAGTCATCGAGTGCTTGGACATGCTTTTTCCTGGATGAGTGCGCGCCGGTGATTTTCGGTTGCATTTCTTTATTGACTCTTCCGAAGTCTCTCAGGAGGAGCATGCATGCAGCAACAGTCGAGAGGAAAAACTCCCTTTTAACAGCAAGAAACATCCAGCAGTACCAGGCTCGGTGTAAGCGGCCTTGTGCCAAGACCGACTGGGATTCAAGGAGACAGAAAGACATATAAAAACAAGCAGATATACAGTAATGGTAAACTACCTCCACTTGTGGCCCTGTCCAAGAACAACATAGCTCTGAGCCAGTTCCCACGTCGAAGGGTGAAAGAGGACACATACAGTTAGCCACAGTAAAAGAAATAGGACTACACTGAAAAATAGGCCCAACTATATCCTAGGGCTGGGCGATAATTCAATAACGATATATATCGATCGATAGACGTGTGGCGCAATAGAAAAAAAGAGGGTCGATAAAAGTTCGATAAAAAAGAAACGCAGTTTTCCTTCCTTCTCATTGTAGCCTAGCATGTAGGTTTATGCTAGTCACTACTTCCTCCCAACCAATCACAATCGCGGACCCAGGCATGCCGTCACCAAGCGCCGCCCTCTCAAACCACAACACAGAGCACATGAAGATGTGCAGCAAGGAGAGGCGTAGGAAATTGTTTCAACGAAGAGTTTTTGTAGTTCGGCAGTCTGGCAGTATTTCGGTCATGGCAAGTCGGACCAAAAACAAACCACAGTCATCTGGAAAATGTGTCGGGAACCAGTGAAAACCAAGTCTGATAACGCAACCAACTTTTTTTTTTTTTTTATCATCTCAGCCGCTCACAGCCGCAGGAGTACGAGGTGTGTAGGCCCCGGTGCGGCTCTCCTCCGAGGAATCTTCGGAAAATATATATATATTTTCAGTTCTGGGCAGTTTCCCACGTAGTTCTAACAATTGAGATAAAAATGCTGAGGGGCCAGAAACTTCAAAGTAATAACTCAGGTTAAAGCAGGAAACGGGGGCGGCGGCGGCGGTGGGGGGGAATTTATTTATTTGTTATATTTATTTTGGTCACTTTTCTGGTCACTTTAGTTTATTCTTTGTCAGTATTTAATAACATAACTCAGGTCTCTTAAGTTATTTTTCTTTAAAGCAATTCTGTTATGGTTAAAAAAGTTGGTTAAATAAAGATTTAATTCGAAGTCTGTGTTTGTGTTTTTTATTAAAATTAAATAATTTAGCAATATTATAAAAAGTCCAGGCAGAGCTGCACATAAAATATGGTTTCAAATCTTTTCAATAATTATCGATATCGATCAATATGCATTTTTTTTTTATCGATAAGCTTTTTTTCTATATCGCCCAGCCCTACTATATCCTCTATAAGCTACGATGTTAACAGCAGCAGCCTAGCTGATATTTCTATGACACTCTCCAGAAGGGTGTCACAGCCACACAGGAACAGACCAGATGACGTACTATGGCAAAAAAGAACGAATTTATGGTTAGAACTAACAAATACTGCAGAATGGAAGAAGAGAGATGAAAAGAAGCGGAAAGATGAAACGTGGTGCCTTTGTCCTCCAGCAGCCTAAGCCTATAGCAGCATAATTATAGAAAATGGCTCATGGTAACCCGACTATTTTAGGTGTTTTAAAGCTTGTCTTTTCTAAACCTATGCTAATATTGCTGATCTCAAACTGCACAATCTTTTTTTATTATTCTTATTTGCCAATAAAACATTGTCTGACAAAGAATTAGTTATAAGAGAGCTGGCCTCAGAGTGGTCAGGGGCGCTGGTACGCCAGCATCGTCCCAGTTATTGATCCTGGGTTGTTGTGTAACATCCTGACCAGTTTCCTTTATCTGAAGGAGAACGATTGGGTCAGAAGGTTGGGGTTGGACTTATACAGGGCGTCCCAAACACACTTCAAAGCTTGTTTCAGGAATGGCTTCCTTAAATCCCAGACCTCCAGCTCATTGAAATCTTTGTGCAAGAGGTTAATGCCAGGATATTTACAAATTTAACACTGTGTATGAATATAAACACTCTTTTTATTAATTTTTTGCTTTTTTAAAAATGCCTGCATTTAAAAGCACCATCCTACTACATGATCTTATTTATATTCTGTACATAAAAGTAGCAGAAGTATTCATCTTTTTACGCTTTAAGAGTGAAAAATAAACAGAAAACATACCTTTGAATGAATTGAAGTATTGTCTCACAGCTTTTTTTATAGATTTTCTGAAGGAATCATTCAGCCTTCATTTTGCACTATGACACCTTTACCTGCTGTGACTCCGTTTGTGTGATTGTTTCTCCAGGTCATTTCAAGACTGTGTGAAGATAAGTGCAAGGATCTGAGTAAAGCAGCAATGAGACGATCCCTCAGCGCAGACAACCTGATAGGTGTGCGACATTCAAACGCCGTGCTCTCGTAGGCCCCCACCGCTCAGCGAACCCACGGCCGACACGGGAAAAAACCTGCATAATCGGATTGAAGGGGGCTCTGCCTTCTAACGGCGCAGCATGACCCACTGCTGGTGGTTTGTTACAGCTTTACAGTCGCATCGTCAACGAAGCTGAAATGAAGGCTTCTGACTAAAATGATTGTCAGCCATTCTTTTTCCAGGCCTGTTATTTATTTCTTTTTTTTAACTCTTCCTTTTCCCCCCAGAAATGGTGTTAAAAAGTGAAGGATTTTTAACAGTCACAAAAAAAAAAAAAACAGCATCAGTAGTGAAAGTTAAGTGTTTTCTGTCTGGATAGATGAGGCTCGGGTTGATTTAATGTTTTGATTTTGAAGAAAACTCTAGAAGGAATGTTCCTCTTTTGGTTCCCGGCGCCCAGAAGAAAACTTGCTTTAACAGGAAAGTCTGTAGAACAAAAACTGTAATATTATAATTTTTATTTGAATGCGGTAGGGGGGGTCATTCCTCACCATATTTTATCTTTGTTCTGTTTTTGTTTTTTGTTTTTTTACAGCCATACAGTCTTCATAATCATATCAAATTAATATTGGGTTTTTGTTTTTTCTTTTCTATTTTTTTTTACTGAACACAGCACAGAAAAGGTGAAATTTATGTTAATTGTATCCAAATATATTCACTAATTATTTATCGTATAATTGATCCTCAGGCATGAGCGTTTAAAAGAAAAAAGCTGTGGAGCATTAAGATATCCGATGTAAAAGCTTTTGAATGTCAGCTTTAGCTTTTTTCAGACATATTAGCATTTTAATTGGAATAGCTAAAGATTTATTCTTGGATCAAACCGTTCTTGGAAAAAGTGTTGAATTATCCACAGTTCTTTCATGTTTTGTGTGTTTATGTCAAGATATTGTTCAGTGGTCATGATCAAAAGTTCTCCTGGCTGTCTTTATGCTTCCGCTGGAGGAGCGGTAGGGTTTTATTCCTTTGAATGACTTAACACTAACCTTAACCTTGAGATAAAACATAACGGACCTAAATCCTCTTTATATTAGCCCAGATATAACAGTGTTTTAATTTATCATTTAAAGTGAGTAAATACATGGCAATAAAATAAGATACGGACAACATAAGATAATGAAATCCTAAAAAGATGGAGATAAATTGGTTAATTCTGGGACTGACAGGAATAATAATTAATAATTTAATAATATTAATAATAATTTTAGCATTCTTTGGAGAAATGTATTTCATGCATCAAAAAACCATGTGAACCTTTTTTATGACAAGTTTAAGAAAGAAGTTAAAGTATTTTCATTTGATTAGAGCAGGTCAGACAAATTACAGGTGAAATGGCATGATTTGCATTTAAAATAAATAAAAAAAACTCCATTATCTTAATTACCTGCTCAAATTAGTAGTAAATGCACCTATTTGAAGAAACGTTTAGGTGTTTCCAGGTTGACTTTTGCTGAGTCTCCATAGGTTCCATCATGATGCTCCTGCGCTTTAATGCGTCGGTTCACCACACAGTCAACTGTCTTTACAGCCATGAGAGGCAAACTAAAGGCCTCCAGCTGTATCCATATTCTGCTTCAATCTTCCACCATTATGCATATAAATGACTAGGTCCTAATACAAAAAAAAGCCTTTAAATTTATCTTGGTTGACATTTAATCCTTGATATTTTTTGCAAATCTGCATAAAAGAGCTTAGATTTTCTCTTTCTCTCAGCATATGCCTCATTATTTCAATGCTATAAAACCATCTGTTCTATGATAGTCACACTATAAGTGTTTGTGAAGTCAGAATCACAAAGAACTGCTCGGATCTCTTTCTGCTAGGCTATTAGGGTCAGCTATATAATTTGGTGGTATAGACCAACTTTTCTATGTGTAGAGGCTAAGATCCTAAAGCTCACTGAAGTGAAGACTTTGTAAAACGGTTAAAAAAGAAATTAGTCTGGTGTTTCAGATAACCTGCAGCTCTGTTAGTTTAGCAGCGGCAGGAAATAATTATTTTCCGTTTTGTGTTTAATTAAAACAATTAGATCATGTTGCAAACGACTGTTTAGGCGCTTTCTAATCCTGTAATATAAAAGTTTTATCCAGCTGTGAGAAAGTGTTGCCAGCCTTTGCCTGCTTGGTCTAATTTTCTTAAAATGGATAAAATCTTTTTGAAAATTGTTTAAAAGTGGGAAAAAAAGGCAGCCAGTGTCCAAAGATGCCATGTTAGCATTTTGGGACCAATGAACTGCGATCAAGACCACGTTACCATCTTTCTCAAAGATCTGTCCTTGGTGGAAAGAGGACTGAGAAATGAAGGATAACTCAAGACTTTAGCACAGTGCAGTAAATTTGAGTTTCTTTCAAATTTACTTGAATTTCTTTTTATTGTTTTATAATTGAAGATGTTTTCTAACAGATTATGTAACTGGTGATACTCTAAAGGAGATTGTGGAAGTAACAGAGCTCAGTAACTCCAGTCAGCTGCTGTGTGTCAGGAATCAGGAGTGCCAAGTGCTGGGTAGTTGGAACGCCATCTATACACGTGAACCTTTTGATTTTGGATGATGAAATGCTACCCCCCCCCCCCCCCCCCCCCCCCCCCCCCCCGTCTAGCTTTGTTTTTAAACCCTTTCAGATCTCCCCACCTTCAGAAGCCTCCTTTGTTCGACAACATGACGTGGAAACGGAGGGAACAAAAGCCTGACAGACGACCCTCTCCTTTTTGCTTACTATGTAGGCTACTAGCTGTGAAATTTTTCTTTGTAATGAAAAGACAAATTTGCAAATGGAGTATTTTAAATAAACACTAATCATGTGACAAATGTATGGTCTGTTGGTTTTATGCTGCATCTAAAAAAACAGATGTGATCTGGGATTAATATCTGGTAGAAGCCATCTAGCAGCAGCTAAGCTAACATTTTTAAAACAAAAAATAAAATCCTACTTTGGGCTGTGGTGGAGATTTACTCCTTTTAGAAGTTTTACATCCAGACTGATGCATTCTAGCAAAGTTTTGGACTTTCAAAACAACAGGGATAACTGCCGTTGCACCTTTGTGTGGTTTGTTTGGTCATTAGTCATTGACACAATTGCTTTCCTGCCAAACGGAAAGGAACTGGATGCCCTGAGTAAAGATTAGTGGAAGGAAGAAGTGGAGTAGAAAAAGTTGCAAAAGCAACATGCAAAGTTATTTGAGTTAGAAATCCATTTGTGCAGATATTTGTGTTAAAGTTAGTTTATCACTCTTTATTCATTTATATTTAAATCTATAATTGACCTAAAAATGTTTCCATATATAAACTACTATTCATTGCCTTGAAATACTGTCTGCTGCTGAGAGCAAACATACTCCTCCAGTCAATTTGAGAATCTCATGGGAAAGTACTCATTATGGCACATTTATAAGCATCTGTTTTTATTTCACAATGTGAATGGAAATCTACAGTATGTCCATAATTTAACAATCCAGTCAATATTACTGAAGCGGTACACTAAACCACCTGAACCAAGCATCAAGCATGTCGCGTTCATTCAACACAACCGACAGTAATGGCATCACCCACTTGAGCAGATCTGTAGCTATATAATTTAAATATGTAAATTACTAGTCATTTTTAATTGATTTTAGATGAAACATATAAACATATTGTGTATTTATAAACTACCAATTAAAGGTTAGCACACACCTTTGTCATTGAATGGCTTCTCCCTATTGAAAAACGATGGAAATATCAGAAATATAAATCAAAGGTTTGCAGAATTAAACAGAAAACATCACATATGTATCAAAACATTTAATATTTTAGATTCTATTTAACATAGACCCACTTTTAATTGATTACAGCTTAATGCACACCTCTTGCATTCTGTCAGTGAGCTTCATGAAGTCACCACCTCTTGAACATGTCCCAGAGGTTTTATCCGTAAACCTTTAAATAAGGTCTACGTTTTTCACTGGCAGTATATAGACATTGTTTATCCATATTCTAAAGTTTTTAATGCTGTCAAATTGAAAATAAATATAAAAATGTCTACTATATATTAACAGTAATGGCAATAATATCACCCTTTCACCATTTGGAGGGCTGTGGGCTTACGAGTAGCCTAAGCAAAATAAATAAAATCAAAGACAAAATACCATGACTATGGAGCTGATCCCAGAGGGAAATGTGTCCTCTGCATTAGTCCTTAACTTGGTCAAGATCTATGACCGGCGTACCTGACATCTAACAACCATACCATGCATTTGGCTTTAGGTCAATAGACTATAATAATTAGGCTATGTATGCTTCCCAAAAAAAATCCCCCTTTCTTTTTTTTTCTTCTGGAGTGATTTAAATATTACAGGGATGGTAAGGAGGTCTTTTTCTAGCCTCAATGACTTAAAAAAGACAAATGTGAGTGGTGGTCATAGTGGAAACATGAATTAAACTGTTCAACATTTAAAGGAGGGTGCAAAAGTAGAAGTTTGTCATTTTTCTCTAAGTATGATTTCCCTTCATTTGAGTAGAAAAGTAATGGAATGGAATTCCATACAATTCCAGATTATTTAAAAGAGCACGAAACACCTTATGCATTATTTTATTACTATCAGGAGATCAGTGTCTTATTTCCCATCAGGAAAAAAGAGATTAAATTACTTGGCCAAACTGAATTTAAAAGGTGTAAGAAAACTTCAGAGCTTAATTGAACAGCTTTTGCAATAACAGTAAATGTGGCTGGTCTGAAGGTTTGTTTATCTGTGAGGTGTTCCTGCACCAGAGAACAGAGTGAGCAGTTCCTTTGAACACCAGTAGGTGGGGCTAAAGACCAAATCCTGTTTAAACTGATCATTCCTGTTTCTTCACACAACACAGACAAAACTGACTCTCCTTTCACAAAGACACTTTAATGAGTTCACAGAACTAAAGAGGATGTGTTAGAGCGCACTATATAGACAAAACAAATGAAGTTTCCAGTCACAGTAATGAATCTCCAACAATATTCAGAGCACCACAACTCAAACAGAGCCAACACGTCACATTTATGGACAATTTCTCCTTTACATAACTTGGCCATCAACTTTTTTTTAACAGAAACTGAACTCATGTTTTTTCTTTACAACAAATATTTGAAGTATGTACATCAATAAATATATATATATATTTTATTTTTCCAGTGCTTGAATATCTGTCTGCCTCAGGGAGTATCGCCTTGTTTTGTTCACAGAGAGTCGATTTGGTCAAGTGTCTCAGCTGCAGTGCAAAAAATTCACTTATAGAGATTTTCTCAATATTCAGAGCCTCAAACATATTCTTTTCACTTTTCGTTGAACAGTTATTACCCATTCTGCGTGCTTTGAATCTTTCTGTTTAGTACATTGTTTATAATTTATATTTGGGGCAAAACGACGCAAACAGAGAGTTCCGGTTCTTGTCCACAATCACATTTAGTGTCTCTAAAATGTTGGGTAGTGCCACAGACTTCATATATGCGAAGGAGGGGCTTTCTGATAGATCCCTGATGTTAACCCAGTTCGAGTGTGCCCAGTTAAGGCTGTACTGGCTTCACTGTACATGGAAGGTGGTGCAGTAACCTTCTGAGGCCAGCAGGGGCAGCATCTGGCCACAAATCTCTTCCAGGACTCCAGAGTTTTTCCCGACCAAATCCAGACTCCGGATGTGATGCCCACCACTAAGCACATGAAGTACTTGAGCATGAAGACAGCATAGTCTGGGCCAAAGCCCGAGCGCTGGCGTTCCGACAGGCAGGAGCAGGCCAAAGCTCGCTCCCAACCGGGTCGATAGTGCTGCTCGTAGACCAGGCAGGCCACCACAATAGTGGCAGGGACCGTGTACAGGACTGTGAACAACCCAATGCGGATCATCAGTCGCTCCAGTTTGTCCGTCTTAGTGCCACCTTGTTTGATGATGCTCCTGATGCGGAACAGAGAGATAAAACCAGCCAGCAGGAAAAGCGAGCCAGTGAAGAGGTAGACCACAAGAGGAGCTATCACAAATCCCCTAAGATTCTCCAGACTCTGGTTCCCGACGTAGCAGATTCCAGCGACAGGGTCCCCATCCACGGAACTGAGAGCAAGGACAACGATAGATTTGACGCTAGGGATGAGCCATGCAGCCAGGTGGAAATACTGCGAGTATCCAGCAATGGCCTCGCTGCCCCACTTCATCCCCGCCGCGAGAAACCAGGTGAATGACAGTACCACCCACCAGATGGAGCTGGCCATCCCAAAGAAATACACCAGCAGGAAGACGAGGGTGCAGAGAGCAGGGCCGGAAGCGTCGTAGAGGATGTGCAGCTGGTTTCCACCGAGGCCGCTGGAGCCACAAGCCACCCGCTCGTGACCCGCAACCAGACGGATGATGTAACCCAAGGAGACGAAGAGGTAGCAGGCGGCCAGAAATATCATGGGCCTCTCTGGGTACTTGAAGCGCTCCATGTCAATGAGGAAAGTGGCTACGGTGGTGAATGTGGAGATGAAGCAGAGCACTGACCAGATTCCCACCCAGAAGCTGGTGAAGGCTCGTTCATCTGCTGAGAAGTAGGGCAGGTGGCAGGGCTGGGCGCAGTTCGGCAAAGGGCCAGTTTGGACTCTGCCGTACAGAGGGTGGGACTCTCGCTTGATGGGGACCAGGGGGTCCCTGCAGCGGCACTCCCTGTCACACTGCGAAGGGCTTGGAGGTCTGGTTCTGACTTTAGGGGTGGACTTTGGGAACGGAGGAGCCAGAGTGGTAGTCTCACTGCTGTTCTGATCCATGCACAGAGTCTCGTCGCCTAGTTGGGGCAGCTGCTCACAGCTCATCCTCTCCGGCCACTCAAAGCCATACTGGCTCATGAGGGGGGAGCAGCCTCGTTTGGCCCGCTCGCACACAGAGCGGCAGGGGGGGAGAGGCTTTCTATAGTCAGGCAGGCAGATCGGAGTGTACATGCTGCACAGGAAGAAGAGCAGGTCTGGAGAGCAGCGGATGCGGACCAGGGGCCAGAACTGGTGCACCTCTAGTCCCACCTCCTCCTGGGTGTCATGATTGAATTGATTTGGCATGTAGGTCAAATTGTAACCAATGCCTTTACACATGGGAACCGTTATAGGCTCACAAACAAGGTCCTTGGAGGCTCCAGATGTGAAACCAGGAGACCAGATCACAAAAAGCAGGAACAGCATCAAGCTGTATGGTGTGAGTCTCACTGCTGGTGCCATGGATGAAATGAGTCTGTTATCAGGGTAACGTCTTTACATCAGTTACAACAAACCAGGGCTGAATTAACCCAAGTTCATCTGAAACTTTATCTTCTCCAAGATAAGTTCTAAGCAGCCTGTTGAAGGTTAAAGTTGATATCAGATGGTAAAGCCAGTTGTGGCAGAGTCCTGCGTGCTGTCAATCATTCACCAGATCTCCAGCAATCATTACGGAGAAAGTCCATATCCGGCGGTCACGTTCCAATAAATTTAACGGCCTTGTAACATTTTTACCAGCTGCTTTTCCTCATGTATGCCTAAAAGAGTCACATCATCAGGGCTGTGCAGGGTTAACCACAAAAAATGTGGTGAAATCAAATATAGGTGGTTTAACCAGCTGGTAAATATGAGCCAAAAATATTCCTTTTTAAATGAGGCACGAGAAAGCAGGTGCGTAAAATCCACTTGATGCGTTTTTCTCGGTGCGTTTATTCCATCTGCGACTTGAGCAACTTCTTAAAAGTGATCTTTCTCAGGTCTGCGAGTGGGAAAAAAAAAGTCAGAACGGCAATGAAGAAAGACAGAAGTTCCTCAGCGTGAAAACTTCTCCCGTGCAGGTTGGTAAAGGCCACGCGTGGCTTGCTACGCTTCCACTGCGCCCGAGGACGAACTGAAGTCCGTCTGGAGCTGCGGCGCCTTCTCATCAAACACTGGCTCTGCTGCGTTCAGGGGCGTCGGAAATGTCACCATTCTACTAGAGGCGCACTCACAACTCTGGACTTCACACTTTTTATTTTTGGTGGAGTTGGTTTAGCATTTTTTCTATGTGCCAGTGACGAATTTAATGTGGTGGAGGACACTCTCTTTTAAATTCAAAGATATAGCCTACTTTTTATGCATCTGAATGTCTGATATAGCATAATTTTTTATTTTATTTTTTTTACATAATGTCAGATAAGTAAACAATATTCAGATTAATCAGCAATTCTTAATAGAATTTAACAAGAAATATGTGAACTAGACCTTTATAAAGAAACACATGGTGATGGGTTTCCCTTTGCAAAACAACATAAAACCACAATTAACCTTATAAATAACCTACATAAAATAAGAAAGTATCTAGAGTAATTGTTTAATCAACTTTGGATAAAAAAAAAAACTGGAATAGATGTAGAAGCATTTTGGTGCCCTCTCTCTCTTTTTTAAAATTAAATATTTCTCAAAACGTAGGAAATCAATCTTTTTTCCGTATACAATTTAAGCACGTGAACACAGCAGTGACTTGCTTCATATTGAGGATCTGAGAGTTCCCAGGAGACCTTAAAGGCACCTGATGAAGATGCTTTCAATAGACTTAACACACATACATATAGATCTTTTTTATTGTATAATTCCATATAAACACATTTTATACATCAATAACCACAGCAATAATTGTATAATTTTCTGTTTAGAGTTTACAAATATATAGGACTGTGTGAGGATTGTTTTAAGAAAGGAATCATTTGCACTCTTTCAAATTCTGTGCAGAGCTTTACTAAATTTGTCCTGTAAAATCACTGTAATTAACAAAATCTTCTAAGTTATAAAGTAGGATTTGCAGGAAAGTTATGTTACATACAACCCAGCTTCACCCTGTCACCTATTATGTTTCCAGCATCAACAAGTTGCTTTGAAGTTAGCAGAAAATGGGCACTATTTTATATTTAATATCCTCCAGATTAACCCAACATACAAATAAGCCCTAAATAAAGATGTAAATTAGCTTCTATTTATGAACCTATCAGCCACTGATATGATTCATTTAAGGCTTAGTTTCCAGTCTGAAGCCTGTAAAATGTTTCTTCTGGGAAGTCGCTGTATTTAACTCTGACTGGCTGCTGCTGAAGAGATAAACCCCAAAGCATGAGGCTGCCACACAGAGGCGTAGCCAGAACATTTTTATAAGGGTGTCCAGGCAATAACCAACATACACTGAGGGGTGGCTGGAAGCAGATAGGTGCCAGAACCTCACAGTCAACCCACACCTTTCCAAAAGGAAAAGGAACAACCACAACGTCCATATATTCTAAATAAAGACAAACTATAATTTCCTACAGCTTTTTCTAATAAATAGACACATATATTTTATCATCTATCCTTTCTTAATTAAGACTCTAGGCTTGAGTTCTTGGTCGAACATCTTATTCATTCTCTTACCTACTTTTATCAATAATCGTTCTGCATAAAATTAATATTTACATGTACTAATATCTACAGTAAATGTATTATTTGTTATTAAAGTAATTATTTATCTCTGCAAGTCACCGATGAATCTTCAGTGAAATCAGAGACATAATTTTCTCTTTACCCAATTAGACAAAATCCAGTTCTGAAAAGAGCAGGAATTCACTATCTAACATCTTTAATGTTAATATAACTATGTACATAATTAATCACAGTGTTTTTGTTGTCAAGTAACTGTTAACATATGATTTTTTATTTTTTTTTTAAATAAGTTAGAATATTCCACTTGAGAGCATTACTGCAGCCATTAGAGGGGAAAAAATGGTAGGGGTGGCCAATGATTGGCTAATGGTGGCTATGGCCCCCCATCTAGCTCCGCCCCTGCTGCCATCACTGTATCTCCCAATGGGGATGGAGCTTCAGGGTGATGTGCCATGTTAGTTTTGTTCCAAACATATCTTGGATATGTTACAGGATGGATGGACCAGTGCAGCTTTAAATTTCCCTTCTGAGTTTTTTGCTAAGTTCTTTTGTCTTTGTTTAATGTTCTCCAACAAACCTTATGGACTTTATGGATTTCCACTCCTCTAACTTCCCAATGTTCCATTACTTTGTGTTTTTCACTTATAGAAAAGTTGAACTCATAGTGGTTGTCTAGCTCAAGTGCTAAGCCCCAAGGGGATGGGTTAAATGCAGAGAGTTCATTTCATTCCTCTGTACTTTTGACAGTGTAATGACAATAAAACCCTGGAAAATAATGAAATGCTGGAAATACATTAAAGTTTGCAGCTTAACAAAATATAAAAGAAAGCTCAAAAGACATAAATATGTGTGAGATGAGCTACCACTAGTACTTTTATAACTAAATATTTCCTCTTAAATGAGCTGAAATATCTCTTTTTTTTGTCATTTTTAGTCAGACTAAAACTGCAACATAAACTAAAGCCTAAAATGATTTGTAGCGGGATAAGTTTCAGTGATCACTTCTTGTGTTTTGAAAACAGTATTTAATACATAGTAAAGTGTTTTATTTTTTTATCCCAACCATCTTTTTTATTTACATAAAGGCAGCTTCTTTTTATTAATCTTCCAAAAGTGAAAATCCTTGCAATGACTTGTTTTTTATGGTATAAAATAGAATTAGTAACTGCAGCTCCCAAATCAAGCTAAAGCCGTTTTGTTAAATAATTCATTTAACAAAACAAAAAAGAAAAATTGAAAAGAAAAGTAGATGATCATATTTTATTGGTCCTGGAAAGATGTTTAATATTTCATTATATGTTTCTATTAAATGTTAAAAAGTTAAATTGGTTTAACATAAAGCAGATTATATGTCAATCAAACCAAATCATGGTTGAAATCTTATATTATTATAACGAGCTTTATTAAGGAGATAACAAGCAGTTGCAAATTTACAGAATTTAGAGCAACAATTACGAAAAAAACACCCTTTATACACATAACAGTCTGTGTTGTTTTTTTGCAGAACACAGATTGAACTGCTCTCATTCAATCATTCATATGTGTTAAACAGATTACAGGGAATTTAGCTGCAATGCTTTATAAGAACAGACTAAGGGCAAACCAATCTGTGTTGCTCAGTAACTGAACCTTTCCCCTTAACATCTAACTCAGCCTTTCACGTCGGACAAAGGTCACAACGCTCTCTCAGGGGACAAAGGTCTCCGAAGGTGTGTTTGAGCAGCGAGGGTGTGTGTGCTCAGCATATCAGCCAGGAGGAGACTCTCCAGGCTCTGATTTACCTTCACTCAGGTCACTCTGACAGATGAAAGTAAACAGTGAGTTTGAGTTTGAAGCCTAAAGGGAATTAGTCTTTTGTGCATAAGAATACACGTGCAGAGTGTGTGTTTGTGTGCGAACATACATGTGATTGAGTGTAGGGATTTTCTCAGGTGCAAAGCTTGTTTGACTAAAACTTGAGATGGAACACAAGGAGGGAGATGTGACCTGCGTTACCATACGGTCACATAAAGAGACAACTTATATCCACACACGTCTGGACTTTGCATACATGGGGAAACTTCATTTAAATTTGATGTAAATCATCTTAGCTATGCAAAATTATTTTCGTTTTTTTTTTTTTTTTTTTTTTTTAGTAAAACTTACTTATAAGATTTTTAAAATAGAAAATAAACAGCTAAATATAAGAGTGTACTGGTGTGTTATTTAACCTTTAAGAAGGCACTCAGAGTTACATCTTTTAGTTTATAAACCTGAATATAATTGTTAACTAGGCTTATTAACTTTTTAACTTTATTTTTAAGCTTTTTACCTTTTTACCTTAAATTCACTTTTTTTTTTCAACTTAATTTACAGTAGGTAATATATCAAAGGCTCATCTTATTGGTCAAATGTCAAAATAAGATATACATCCATGTAGCAGGATCTTTGCTGAATGGCTGGATATAGATCTTGTGCTTCTAGACCTCACTGAGTGACGGGGGGACGACTCCATTTGTAAGGAGGATGCAAGTGATTAAAAATGGTAACTTGCCCTATAAAGGGTTAATCCCAGTATAAATCCAGCTGTTATTTGAAGGCCTCAGATGTTTGCTTTTTTAAGAGAAAATTAAAGAACAAACATCATCATTAAGAGAACATCAGAGAGGTTGCTGTGAGCATGACTAAGTTTTAACACAATATCCTAAACTTTGCACATTTCATGGAGAACTTGCAAATCCATAATGGAATATATGGAAAGAGAGTAATGAAGATCTAAGCCTATTACTTCTTTTTTTTTTTGACAGAAGCAGTAAAATAAACTCAGTGACCATCTGGGCCCAATGAGATCAAAACGTAACATTTTAGCATAAATGCATAAATCCAAATCACTGTGTGGCAGAAAACTAACACTGCATCTTTTTTTTTTGTAAAATAAGGTGATGGCTGCATCATGATACGAATGACGCTGCTTTTCAGCAGACAGGAACGTTACTGCAAAGATGAATTGAATCTAACGAGGGGAAATCCTGAAAGAAAAGCTGTAGAATCTGTTAATAGGGCAGATGTAGAGATTCTCCTCCTGGCAGGAAAACAACCATCAGCTACAATGAACTGGTTTAGATCAAAATCTCCTGAGAAACATCAACTTTTTTCCCGTTATGCTTATTATATTTCCAAAGAGCAATGAGCAAAAGTAGAAAAAAATAAAACTGTATTATGCGAAGCTGGCAGAGAGACATGCAGCTGTCGTCACAGTAAATACGGTTCAACAAAGTGTCAGTTTGTCAAAGACTTCAGGAGGCTGAAAACAAACACAAGCCACACTTTTCAGATTTTGATTTACAACTAGGCTTTATCTTTGACCCGAGGTAACCTTTAGGCCTTTTATTCGGCAGTGATCTGAAATAGAGCGCGAGGCTCCGATGTGCTGCGTTAGACGTGTTTTCCTCTCCCACGTTCATGTCAGGGACATGCAGAGACCTGGAGCTTGTTTGA